GAAATCATCTATCAGGGTCTCGAGTTAGAACCCACAAAGATATTCGAATCATGTCTGGTGACGAACTGCCACCGTGGAAAGTTCCAAAGCCAAGCCTTGGGGGTTGAAGCCTTGGGGCTGTCCTCACTTGAGCTGCTGCTGGAATCTGCATCCTGGGAGTCGATGAGTGGTTGATGGTATGTATTAAAAAAAAAACAGGTGTCCTTATTGTCGTCATCTTCTTCATATTATGTTCTTCTTCACCAGAATTATTCTTATTGTTCATCATATATATTTTTCTTCATCTTCATTACCTCATTACCTGCGGGTATACCAAGTTGTCTCTCCAATTGTTCGAAAATGCACACTGCTTCTGGAGCAGTTGCCCATCCATTGCCCGGAACTTCTACTCTACTGGACTTGTTGCTGGGTCCTCTTCCCTTTCCTGTTGCTTGAATCCCCATTGTTGGTTTCTTAACCCCCAACCGTCAACAAACCAACATTATTTCTGGGCTGACACTATTTTTCATGAACAGCCTAAAATAGTAGGAACCAAAAAAAAGAACATCACTCAGCAGGATTTGTTCATTATAAATCCCCATATCTACACCATATTTGTTTTTTTTTAATGGCCATGGATCAAAGACCAGATACCCTGGCGACCATCCAAAGAGGTTGCACTTCCCCAAAAAGGATAGAACAGCTGTGAACCCCTTTGGTATGGGATTCTGATCATGTCCCGAATATATATATATGTGATATATATATATACTATCATTTATATCATATCATATCATATCATACCGTATCATATCATAATCATATCATATAATATCAAATCATATCATATGATGTATACATACATATATATATATATCATATAAATATATACATATATACGTGTATATATATCATGTCTATATATATATATCATATCTATCTATCTATATATATATCATATCTATATATATATATATGTGTCTGTAAATATATATCATATCTATATATCATATCTATATTACATATATATATATATCATATATATACATATATAATTATACATATACATATATATATAATTATACATATATATATATATATATCATATCTATGCATATATAGATATATGTATCATGTGTATATATCTATTTATGTATATCATAAGTATATATATATATACATACATTAATAACTTTCGGGAAAAGCCTCAAAAATCCATGATCGTGTCATCTGGGGCTTTCCCGTATTTTCCTCCCATCGGCGCCTTAGGGATGGGTACCGGAGCAGTACCTTTCTCTTCCTGCACCAAGCGCAAGCGCCTGGCCAAAACGTCACCAAGATTCCGACCTGTGTCATGATGTCTTTCATGTTTTTTTGTGTTTTCGAACATACATTTTTTGGCAAACACATATATACTGGTTGGTGGTTGAGCCCTACCCCTCTGAAAAATATGAAAGTCAGTTGGGATGATTATTCCCAATATATGGAAAAATAAAAAATGTTCCAAACCACCAAACAGTATATATATATATATCAATGGCATTCAATGGCCAGTTCATGCCAGTTCTCTCCCCCACCTTTTCCACATCATGATGTACCTCTTCAAAATAATGACCCTCCACTGGTACAAGTGGAAGGTCTTCTGTTTGGGGACGAATTTAACGAGCCTCCTGAGATAGTCATTGGCATCGGACAATTCCTGTTCCATCGGCGGTCGGCAGGAACTGGCAACCCATACCCCAAGGGGTACAGGAAAACACACATTGGATCACATGTGTAATTTTTGTCTGAAAAAATGTTATTCCTTAATTTGATGATCATCTGATCATCTCCCTATGAACATTACTAAAGGTATATCCAAAAAATATCATAGTTGGTTATTTATCCCCATGATATGAGAATTATTAAACTAGCTATTTTGGGGTATACCCCCGTTTTCGAACTAAGCCCCAATGTCATTCTGGGCCTTCACCTCAAGAATCGGGTGGTGACTCAGAAAATCATCCCATGGTTGTGTCTGAAAATAAGGATTTCATAGAGGATTCGCCTCATCACTTGACCAAACAAAAAGGGGAACATGATGATCAACACTCGAAGTTAAAATCTTCGAAACCACCAAGGAGGTGTTTGCTTCGATACATCCCGTTCTTTACGGTTGTTCTGTTCTACAGTCTTGCTGACCTTCAAGTCAAGATGGCCGAAGATGTTGTACAGTACCCACCCACATCCAATATCCCACCAAGGAAGCCAGTCAGAAATGTGGTTCTGGCATGCCAATCCTACAATTTCTCATTCCACTGCTAGTTTATGCAAGAGCTTCTGGCTGCGTTTCTGGTGGACGAGCTACCATCGGAAAGGCAACAGTCTCTAATGGCTGTTTGCTTGTGCCAACTCTTTTTGGCTCATTGATCCGAAGTTTTCCTCGGTTGTAGCTTACTCGGCTTACTCGGCTTCCCGGGGCAATTTGTTGAAGAGGCATGTCATTCAGTAATACAGTAATACAGTCCCTTGTTAGGCTTACCCCACTTACAACTTGGATCTAACTGGGTTAGAACCCCAGGAAAACTCACCACTTACGATCCCTGGGGTGATCCTAACCAATGCCCACATGGCTCCGCCGCGACCTGCAATTGAACCTGAAACTGCTCAGCTTCCTTTGTATCGGACTTTGCCTCGGTATGAAGCCCTGGAGCTTGGTGTCAACGTCGGACACGGGTTGGTCTTCCGGGGTCTTCCACGGGGTCGTCTTCCACAAAAAGGACTCAAAAAATCGATCAACAAATGCAGATGAGACAAAATAAGTCGCGATGTAGGAATCGCAAGGGCCAACCCAGAAAGTTTCTGGATATGAGTTTTGTTGGGGATCCAGTCCTGGCTTGGGAATGTTGTGTAATCATTGGACACTGCTCACGTACCGAGATATCTACAGTAGCATGGGCAAGGTTGAAAGTGTGTGCACCAAAATGCTATGCCGGTCCATCGGTAGATCTTCCGGCTCTTAAGTTTAGACCAAGGGCCCAGGATAATATGTACCTTGAACTTCGTTGCAATCCACAAATGTGCAGCCCAAAAATCGTCTTTAGAGGATGTTTTCCAAAAAAGGGCCCTCTTTTCTCAAAGAGCTGGCCAGACCAAGTCCACTGACCAGCAACCCCATCCACAGTGGGTTTGAACACCCCTGTCACACAGATCGCCGAGGAACGTCTGATCCAAATCTTAGTGCTCCCAGCATTCTGGCGCAGCGCACGGGTGTCAATGGAAATCCCCCATGGCCATTGATTCCAGCAACCATTGAAACAATTAGAGTATGGACATCCCCATGGCCTGGAAGACATGGAGGGATCAAGCTGCGACCTGGGCAAGTCTCTGGCGAAATGCCATGTACTGTCGGGATTTCTTTTCACCAAGAAGAAGTGATATATACACGTATATATAATATTATGTAATTATCTATATATATAATATATACATATATATATGTATGTATATATACAGTGTATATGTGTTGGGTTTACACAGATATGTGTGTCCTGAAATTCATGGCAAATCTTAAATACCCCGCGGAAAAAAGTCAGATGTTTAGCTGGTTAGGTATTTACATAAATTTTGTGGGGCTAGCCATTGATGTTCACCCACTACCCATAGTCCATGCCCACAATGGCTGTCCAATTGTTCATTAATCATTGGTGTAATATTTGTGTAATCATATATTGTAAATATATATAATTTTAATATATATAAATATATCATATACAGTAAATATATGTCCATCCTACCTGACGATTAAAACAACCATACAGCATACCCTAAAATGTACACATCCAAAACTAAATCGGAATAGTCGTCTTCATCACCATCATCACCATCATCGCCAATCATCGCCATCACCACCATCATCATCATCATCATCATCATCACCATCATCACCATCATCATCACCATCATCACCATCATCACCATCATCACCATCTGGATACTATTCATGTGTGAGGCCAGCCAAACCTGGTCAAAATTGTGCCGTAAGAATGAATCGCTTCCCCGAAGGGCTTGGTCATTGGTCTTGGTCTGACTTGGTGGGTGGCTTTGGCTCTGAGTTTCAGGACCCATCTCGGCTGTTGCGGTCTGACAACTGCGGATGGCGCATGGCGATTCGGCTGTGGCTTGGATTTTTTTGCTGGGTGAAACACCAAGGTTTAGATGAGATGCCCTAAAAAATGGGGCCGGCTCAAGACACACATGGCCGTTGCAGTCCGAAAATTCTACTTGCTAGACTGCTAGACCCTGCTAGATGTTGAAGGCTTCAGCATCCCAGCGGTTCAGATGGTTCAGATCAAATGCTGGGTTAGCCATGTTTTACCCATCTTTCAGGGCCAGTCAACGGGTGATCATGTGGCAAACCCAATAGTGAACCATCCCCAAGTCATCACCATTTCTATGGGTGGGATAAATTAACCATCCCCAAATGGTAGTTATTTATGGCATTGGCTTTCCCACATTTACTGGAAACTCTGAAACAAGTTAGTATGAGCCTTGCATAAATTGCTCATCATTTTCTCCGCAAGCGCTGTTTCTCTTGTGAGACTATGCGATGGCTACTGCGCAGTCTGCGCTCTTGGAAACTTTGGAAAACACCCAAACGCGGTCCACTCCAAGACATAAATCGAATTCGCCCAGTCAAATTAGGCACAATGGCGAGATTGCCGCTGTACCACACTTCACAAACGCTGAGCTCAGCATTGAGACTGCCAGTCTGCAACTCTCTTGGTCACAGAACTCTATGAAATATATGGTGAGATTCGAAATTTCATTGGAGATGTCCTTTCATTTCATCTCTCCACCATGAGGGAGCCGCGATTTGCCAAAGGGACATAACTCATTCTGGGCAAATTCTAGTCCTAACCCAAACGAAGCCGCAACTTTTAGGGTTGGTTTACCGTATTAATCGAATTGTGGGGTTTCCTCCGCCAGTGAAGTCGCCAACTTTGCCCAGAACTCATCCGAAAATCGCAAGAGAATCGGCCTCACGCCCCGCCCGAGCTGGCTTTGTTCACGGGGCTTCTGCGAGGGCTCTTGCTAGTGGAAAGTGGAATCACCAGCACTACGATGTCGTCGATGTATTCGGCCTGGAAATGTTTAGTCAGGTGTGGAGTGCGGAGCAACCCTAAAGTGCCGGATTGAAACGGATAGAAGGGCTTAGTGAGAAAGTTGTAGTTCAATAATGTTCAATATATTTAGAGCTCCTGATATCGAAGTTTGCCTAGGAATTTGGAACGGACCCATCATTGAGGGTTTCCACCTTCCAAAAGTTGCCATGGCCATGGAGTATCCACGATGAAGGCATGGGATGGTTATGCCCAGCAGTAGGTCATCACCAATCACCACGGTTGAATCCCTGGCTTAGACGTGGCCCACAACTTCGATCTTGGCCAATTCTAATGAACAATTAAGAAACATTGAAATAAATAGAAAAAACGTGTATATATATATACTGTATATATAGATATATTTATGTATACTGTAACTGTAACAGTACTTATGTATATGATATATATGTATACCAATAACTATAGGATTTTCCATTTACAGGTGGTGCCTGCAGGCTCCAGCGCTGTCGAGCGTCCTGAACCAGAACTAGATCCCAGCCGGGTCAAACGTATTGGATGCACAACATGTCTTGGATTTATCCACCAAAACTTTTTTTCTGGGGTCTAGTTCTGAACTAGCTTCTGTTTCATAGTTGTAACTTTTTGAGAAACTGAATTTTGACCCACCAATGCTGGGGATTTGATCCGCCAAAATGGTGATTTGATCCGACAAAATGTGGGAAGTTTATGTAATTTCAGTTACATAATAGCAACCTCTAAACCACCAAATTCATGACTTGTCAAACTGACGTTCTTATTGTATTGCCACCGAAGTTTTTTTTCAATGGACGTCACGGCCAACACAATGTGGATTTAAGCCAGGAAATCCAACCAACATCTGGACTGCTTTTTTTTTTTGGGCCAGACCTTCAGCCACTCCATTGATCTATCAACATCAGCCACCACATCCTAGTTGTGTTGGTGACATGTCACTCCACGTTGTTTTTTTCTCTTGAAATCCCCCTATTTCTATGGACAAATTCTCATGTTTGATGGGTGGGTAAATCAATGCCATAAACCATCACCCAAATTCCAGTCATCACCATTTTTATAGGTGGTTTTTGAACGTGTATAAACCATTCCCAGTCATGGGTGGTTTATGACACTGGTTTACTCACATTTGTTGATATTTAGTTATAACGATCATTAACTATTAACCAGTAGTATACTAAGCCACATTATTACCATATAACCATTGTAATATCATTATTATCATTATAACCCTATATGTATTATCATTATTCTCATTATAAACCACATAATACCATTATAACCATTATAACTAGATTATCATAATAACCATTTAGACCCACATCAAAAAATAACCCACATGAAAATATGTATCCCGGCTGTATCCCCTATAGATTCCCTAGGCTGAGTCCGTCCTTCACCAGAGCCTGTGCGGCCTCCCGAGGATCGGAGAACTTCAGGGCGATGTCCACCGCCTCCTGGAACTTGGAGATTTTTGGTGGTTTTTATGGTGAGTTCATGGTGGTTTTATGGGATTTTGATTGGATGTTTATGGCTGTTTATGGTGATTTTCTGGGATGTTATGGGATTTTGATTGGGGATTCTAAGATGGCAATCCGGAAAGAACCACCCAAAATGCTGGAAAACCATGGAAAACCACTCATTTTATTGGTATTAATGGGAATATCATTGGGATAGAATAGAAATATCATTGGGATTTAATGGGGGTTGTAAGGCAATAGGTTTTATTTTATATGAAATTAACTGTCTCTAACCATCGAATGAGTTGATCATGTTTTATGGCAAACTACATCCATACATGTTTTGCCCTTGTCATCTCACAATCAATAAAATTTGGTTTATTCAAAATGTATCTGTATATGTGTATATATGTATATATGGTTATTCAAAGTTAATAAAACTAACAAATTGATCACTTTTAATCGGGAAACCAATGGTCTTCAGGAGCCCAAAGTTTAAGGAAGCGTTGTCATCATGATCATTACCTACTTCGTTATTATCAATATCATCGCACATCAAAAGTTCAGCATAACTTTGTCTGTTTTCAACAAAATCTTAGTGTCATCTGTTTAACGGTTCATTCTGATTCATTCTACCTTGAAAGAAGAATCAATCATCACAACAAGAAATGGCATGGTTCTCATCATTTCAGTCTTTAGAGCGGGATATTCATTGTCCAGAGCCTGTCACTTGGTTCGGTTTGAACTGAGCAGTCTTCAAAGCATTGATGGTCTCTGATGATATCAATGCTGCTTTTTCGAAAATGGTGGATCCAACTTATGATCCAAGATGGCTATTGTGACATGGCTATCCCTTTGGGAAAGATAGAGTTGCAACTTTGCAGCGACAATGAGACCAACCAAACATCGCAGCTGGCAGTTCAAAAGACATCTCATCGTTTCAGAACTCCCCAGATTCTGAAGGAGATCTTACTAGAATGTGGGGCCCCCCAGTTATAAGTTGGTTTATAAACCCCATTAACTATAGTTATAAGTACCATAAACCATAGTTATTGGAGTTATAAACCAACTTAGCTATCTTGGGGGCCCCACATTGTAGAATCATGAAAAAATGCAAAGAGACAGGAGCTCCAACATAGATGAAACATGGAAAAATATCAAAGATAAAAGGTGCGCCGAAAAGACCGAAAAGTGCAAAAGTTAAGGGCTCAAACGCAAGTTGACGCAAAAGCTCAAAAAGAGTTGACTCATAAGTTGAAGGCTCAAGAGGAATAGTTGACACACAAATTGAATGCTCAAAAAGAATAGTTGACACAAAAAAATGACGAGAAAATCCACGGTTCAAAAAAAGTTGACAGAAACGTTGACACATCCACGAATCATCACCAAAGCTCCAGAAGTTCATGATTCTGAGAGTAGTGAGGAAGTACCTCAAGTGCCATTGATCTCCTTTGTCCACTCCTTCGATCTCATTGGTTGATAGACATTCCAGTCAAAAGCGAAATTGTCACTGTGAATCGAACTTCACGGTGGATCAAACTCGATGTATGAGTACTCTGGTGAACATCTAAACAGCATAGAATGGCTGGTAAATTTAGCATGGATGTTCATATCCCAAAGTGTGTACGGTCACTACCCCCAGGATCCCCTAACTAAACAATTAATGAGAGCAAAAGAAGCTCCACAGAAGGTGGACCCCCCAGTTATAAGTTGGCTTATAAACTCCATCAACTATAGTTATTATATCATGTTATATCCTCTACAAACCAAGGTTATTCCAGTTGTAAACCAACTTAGCTATAGCGGCCCACCTTGCAGTTCTCATACCACAACACACCTGCCGACGTGGAGTTTCACGTCCGGTCCTCTGGCTTCATGAACTCCCAAATTCCATCGCTGCACAGCAATAGAACTCGGTCATGGGCTCCAACCTCAAGCCAAAGGCACCACTGATGATTTTTTGGGCCAAACTATGCATACTGCAGGTCCATTACGAAACGATGGATGATAATGCGAGTATTTATATTATATACATTATAAGTGGAATGGACTAACTCGATATAAAACGGCATCGAAGTTCTTTGTTGAATGACTTTTCTATCTTTTTGTTGAACAACAGCACAAGGTTGTCCCAGCTACAGTATCTCCTTGTATCCCAGCGATCAATGCTTCCAGTCCTGTTTTATACATATATATATATACAGTATATGAATATGATAGCAATAGTACGTAGTTCCTTGCCCCCATACCCCTCATATCCTCATTTTACATCCCGAAAGACCGTTTTGTTAGGTGCACATCCCATCATATCCCATCATATCCCATTACACATGGCAGTGTGTCAAAACCTTGTATCCCTGTAGTTCACATCAAAATAGCTGGTAAATGGATGTTCATCCCCCTAAAAATGGTATGTATAGGTATTGATCCATAGCCATATATCCCAAGGTTTCATTGCTTTCCATGGCTTTCCATGGCTTTCCACCCATGGCATCCCCTTTGAACCACCCCACCTGATGCTCTGATACCTCGGGATCTGCAATGAGGCCAGTCTCGCGATGCGCCTCCAGGTCCCCCAGGGAGCGGGTCATGTTCAACCCCGCACCATAGCCATCCTGCGGCCGTCATATGAAGCCACTGAAAATGGGGATCTAAGTTCAACACATGGTGGACACATGGTGGATCTAAGCTCCCAAAATTCTGATTGCTGGAGGGTATTTCGATGATTCCACCAAGAAAAGTGTTGGCGAAATGAGGTGATGCGCAAGAAAAGATGTGATTTCTGGGATTTAACCAACAAGAAGTAACAAGCGAGACTGAACTAGCAAAAATAGGAGTTGAAGCAACAAAAATGGGGGGAAAGCAAAGAATTTCTATTTTGATGGTGGGGATTTATAGCCACTTTTATAGCTTTTATGGTGGGACAATGAGTCGCTATAGGATTCATCGGCATTGCCATATGCATGATACAATGGGATCACTTTGAGTGAGTGACACAACCACATTTGGATCACATGAAACATATTTTGAATTATATGTTTTCCTGGGATGGCAAAATATGTCATAGAAATGGATATGAACAGTAATATTAATTGCAATTGTCATGGGATTATACGACTGTAATTGACTGCAATGAATATATCACCACTGATATGAATATTACCCCAAATTATGATCTTTTCTGCGGAAGATGATGATGAACAGTTGGGGTAAACGAGGGTGCCAGAGTCTCAAACACATTGCATACTGTTGTAATAGGATGTAATAGGGAACATTATATGTATATATATAAGTTGTTTAGCCATAACGAAAATAGTTGAGTAATACTTTAAATCATTTGAAAAAAAAAAACGATATAAACATCTGGAAGGTTCACCCCCAAAAAAATGAATGATTTAAAAAGCAACAGGGTTGGGCTGCGAAATCAACCACTGGGGTGTTCAGAAGGACATTCGTGTACAGAAGGGGAATGCAACCAACGAATTTTTGGTATTGTATATACCCTCTGGTGAACTAACATAGCAATTGAAAATGACCATTTATAGTGGATTTTCCCATTAAAAATGGTGATTTTCCATAGTTATGTTAGTTTACCAGAGGGTATTGTATATACATCTGCATTTTTAGACTTTTGCAGGAAAGAAAAGACATTGACTTCCCCGTCACGTGTTTGAACTCCATCGATATCTGACGTACACCTAGAAGCATCACATGAATGAGTGGAGGTCCAATTTAGATAGTTTTGTCTTTGGTCTATTCCAAATCAACTAGTTTCTCATCACAGTTACCTGAGCTATCAAGGGTTCGCCGTGGGTCAAGTCACTCTGGGGTGATTCGTGTCATAGTGAGCCCAAGAAAAGATAAGAAAGCTTCGATTTGACACTGTATTAGCAGGAGTTTACCAAATTTCACCTTTTTGGTGGTGCACTATCATATATATGTATATATATATATGTATATACATATATATATGTATACATGTAACATATGTATACATATATACAATATAACTATATAATTATATATCTAATTGTATATATATACACATGAATAATTGTATATTATATATATATGTACGTATACTATATGATCATAATGTGTGCATAGCCATGACCAGTCCATGTTGTGGATGCCTGGGCCCCAGCTGAAACTCCGAAAAAACCACAGAAAACTCTGCTCTGACTCAATTCCTAGCTCCCAAAATAGGGAATATGGAGACCCATAGCGACCCATAGCTCCCCCCAAACCACTGGCTAGTTAACCATCCAATTGTCAGACAACCTAGTTGGGTCTGTCTGAAAATATGCATACAATCACTTTCACGGGGAAAATTGATAAACGCTTAGATTTGGGTGGCCTATACCATGGGAATGGCCACTGCCCCAATTTCTGGACTGACCGGGCCCCCATAGCCAGTTGGTGTCCTTGTTGTAGATGCGATAATCTGAATATCCATCAAAGTCGATCAACCCTGGCGACAGCAAGTGAGTCTGAATTTCAGCACCGACATCTACACTTTTGGCAAATGTCTTCAAGTTGTACATGTTTCATAGTTTATCTTTAGAAATTGCAGATACCCCAGTGCCATGTTGGAATTTCGGTTGTGTAGCTACCTTGGCAGCAACACAGCTCGCTACACCTCCAGATGCGATGATCCTTGCCATCTCATCCTTCAGCTGCGGCTTATGATCTCTGGTCAGCTGCTTGGCGTAAGTCTTGGCGCCGTCCCAACCTCACTGGCTGGAGATGTTTTTTCTACCCAGCTGGCTTGACCAATGCCAACGGTGCTGGCAAACGACTTTAGCGACTGCTGAATGAGAAAAACACGCTACAAATAGTGCGGGGTGGTTTAGACCATACTGTATGGTCCAGTAATTACAAGTTTAGTTCTTCAATTTGATTTGAGTAACCAAGCAGTACTGTGAGTAGAAAGCATAATTCAATACTATAACTATACCATCTGGTTATTTAACATAGCCATGGAAAATCACCAGTTTTAATAGGTAAACCCAGGTAAACCATCTATAAATAGGCCATTTTCCACAGCTATGTTAAATAACCAGAGGGTAACTGATAATCACTCCCTCTTGGTTTGATTTGACTGTAGCCCCCCAGTCTGACCAGCCAGTAAGGTTCACCATCTTCCAAGAATACGAATCACCAGACTCCTCAAGTAGCTGCAAAATGCAATTTCACCATCTTAGTTGAAATCAAGAATGCACTCAGTTTGTACCAAAATCCATGTATATATATATATATACGTGCGTGTGTGTGTCATTATGTGTGTGTACATGGTCTGTATTACTTATATCATATCAATTTATATTGCACATAATCATATATATCTATAATATACATACACATATATACATACTTACCTATATATACGATGATGATTATATATGCATCCCTCCCATCATATCCCCATCATATCCCCATTCCCATGGCCTCCCAGCACTGCACTGCTGTCGCCAACCTCGGTGGTTCAATCCTCAACAGGAGGGCTCTTAGCCTATAGTAACCCCCCAAAAAAAAGATGGAAACGCTTCAATTTATCATAATTTATCACTATCTTTTCTATCGAATTCAACCGACCAACAGCCACTATTGGAGGGGTCACGTTCTGGGGGTTGGCTATCAGTTTACCCTGTGATAATTTAACATAGCTATGGACAATCATCATATTTAATAGGCAGTACATATACACATATATATATAATCTATAATGGGCAATTTCCAGAGCTATGTTAAATCACCAGAGGCTAATCTACAGAACAAAAATTGCCGCCCAGGCATGGGAGACTTGGATGGGAAAACTCTTCAAACTGCGCAGGCTATCTGAATCTGACAGGAGAACAACCCAAGCACTGGCTCTTGGAGGAAGAAATGTGGTGTGAAATGATCCACAAATACTACAGCGGTGTGCTGTCTAGGTAGCTGGAAACTAAAAATGAACCTCTTCGATCAAACTTGAAAAGTTTTCAGAATGAATCATCTCAAGGTCTCTACACTCAAGATCACCTTCCCATTGTTGAAACCTCCCTGATCCAACCACTCTTGGTTGAAGGGAAACTGTACAGATGTTCCCCCAACTTTTGGTAAGTTCACCATGCTTTCCTGCGGATGTTCCCTTCAACCGACCCAGTTATATATATATATTGTATTATATATATATTGTATTATATATATTGTATTATATATATATATAACCCTATGCTGCATGGTTTACATCCTCATTTCTGTGTTCACCTTAAACATATCATATCAATAGGAGCCATGAAAAAAACTCCTTCCAATCATACTGGTTAGTACTAGCTATGACATTTGAAACCAGGTGGTAGAACAGAACCCACTACTCAACCATCATTTTGAACCTATCACTGTGTCTCGTTGATGGTTAAAACTCCAAATGATGGTTCTTTCACTATAATAGTCAACTAACCGGCATGTCATCATATTTTATCATCCCATTCTGCTGGTTTCAAGCCAGCAAAATGGTCGGCCGGGCCACATGGGCGAGACTGAGACGCCCTGTCTGATGGTGGTGGACAACCGTGGTGCTGGTGCAGCCCGACCAGCGCGCGCTCAGCTTGTCGTAGGCATCCGCGCTGTCGATCAGAAGGTGCATGCGGCGGTAGGTTTCCTTGGATATGGAGTTGGATTGGGATGATGGGTCGGTCATCCAACTTGGGTTTACCGGTTCGTAAACCGAATTGAACTTGGAGTTGTTTTTTCCCAGCTTACTGGTAAGTTCAGTAACTGTTAATTGGGGTGTCTAACCATCAATTAGTCCCTACTGGTTAGAGATTAGTAACTCAAATCAAGTCTACCTACCAAGTTCCCAATTGGGGTTATGTCGCTGGAAAAAAACTCGAACCCCACTTCCGAACCCCTGGCGTGATCCTGCAGCGCGCCGCGATCCGACATTTTTATGATTGATGGTAGAATCCGCATGTTGTTTTTGGGCACGGCACCTGAGGCCATGCGTTCGTGCACTTTTCTCTCCAATTCCCTTTTTTCTCCCTTCTTGGGCTGGGTTGGGGCAATGACGTCCTTGCATTTGCACAGCTGCTTGCCGCTACGTCTGCTACGTCATATGAACTTCTCTAGCACGTGCACATATCTTTGATGCTATCTATACTTGAATAGATACTCCGTCAAAAGAACTCCTCCACTTGTGACAGGATCTGGGAGCTCAAAAAAACTATCCCGAAAACACCATTGGTCCATCCGGTGTGAATCCATGGTTGTGGCACCTAAGGTGCCACCAGTCACTTTGGAAAGCTGGTCAGTTTTGCCAAAAATGTGGCCGTAACATTTCACACACAGAGGGTTGTCGAAAACCAATTCCTTCGGAGATCCGGAGCAGGGATTTTGGGACGGTTTTCTCTGATGTCAAGTTCAAATGAAATCACTAAAACACATTGTTGTTTAACACTTCAAGAAATGACCAACCGAAAACATTCACAAACGCACGGCTTCTTAGAGGCCCCGTCACCAATGACGTCCTTTCTGGGAAGATGAAGGGGCCGGCGTGCGCATGGATTGCAACTCCATATATATAGTTGGTATGTAAATTCCACGAGTAATGTGTCTTGATCTCACAATGTTGATTGAAGAATCATTTTGAGTCTTGTGTGATAATCATCATAACACATGTCCGAAACATCTCTGTGATCATTTATAGAATCTCATCCTGCTTGTTGATCGACCACAACTATTGATTGGTCATCATCTCCACTTCTGTTGGTTGAGAACGGGATTCCTCTAATAGCTGCTGATCATCCCCAATTATTATTGGTTCATATAATCCCCAAAGAAATCATCAACCAACAGACAAGAATCCCATGTAATGATCCCATATAGTATAATTTGTTAGTATAATAATCCCATTTACCATATTGTAACAATTGGTTCATATTATAATAATCCCAAATAACCCAAACAATCATTGCTTCATATTTCATGATCCCATTTAGTATCATCAACCAATCATCTCGTTTACCATATGGAGGTTTCCTGGAATAGTGGTACCCCTAAATCATCCATTTTAATAGGAATGTCCATTAAAAACTAATTACAGTATTCATTTTTGGGGATCCACCTTTTCCAAAAATTAGTTTTCATCAACCAATCATCCCAGTTACCCTCTGGTAAACTAACATAGCTATTGAAAATGGCCATAGAAATAGTGGATTTTCCCATTAAACATGGTGATTTTCCAGTTCGCTATGTTAGTTTACCAGAGGGGTACATCCCATTTACCCATCTTGGTGACCAATCATCCCATGGCATCAACCCATCTCTGCCCAGCTTCCGTGAACATCTCCCTGAGATCCGCCGCTTCGGTGAGTCGCGACACCAGCAGCCGCGGCAGGGTGTCCTTCACGAAGTTGGCCACGTCGTGACCTGAGATCAACGGCAGAAGCTGGGGAGGTTCACCCAAAAACCTGGATGTCACCCAGGGAAAATCATGAGTTCACCCAAAAATCTGGAAATCCGTTGCGAAAAGGTGGAATTTACTTGGCCAACTTGTGGATTTTTCAGCAGCAAAACAATTGGATTCAACATGATTGAAGCGACGTGGTGGGTTGGAAAATGTCAGCCATTTAATGGGGATTCAATGGGATAGAAGGATAGATACAACAAGCAACAAGATTCGGGTCCCAGTTGTGACCGATACAAAGGGGGTGGGATGGTCCATGCATGACTCGGTTGTTTCATATGGCTACTAATCCCACTTGCTGAATGTGATACACCTTGAAGAAGAGGGGTCTTGGGTTATGATCATTTTTTGGTTTGAGGATGATCTCGGATGACCAGTTGTTCTTTCAATGATCCAGTATTTGTGAAGTTACATGTGTCTGGAAACTGAAACATGGAAGACCAAACAATGGGGTCTGAAAGATGCTGTTCCTGGTGACTCGTTTCAATTTGGATTTCGGGTGGGACTATGTTGAGCTCACTGATGATCATGATGATGATCATGATCATCATCATGATCATCATCATGGTCAGGACCATCATGACCACCACCATCATCATCATCATCATCGTCATCGTCATCGTCATCATCATCATCATCAATAAATATATGTCGTTGGGGGTGATCACTCCCACTATCCAGCTATCCCCAAAGTCTCAGTGCAGAGTGAATGGTAATGGCTATGGGTCAAAACCTGCGGAAAGGTTTTTGTGAGGATTTTGGATGCTTTTTGGAACTATTTTCACTTTCCACCCATGTTCACCACAGATACAGATTCAAAGTTTAATCAATCCCAACCAGCCAACCGTTTTTCTGAAAATGTCCAAGTGGCCATGGGGGCCATGCCCATCGTAGACCGAATAAATGGAGAAATCGTCTTCAACACGGACCACGGACCAAGCGTCCTACTCAGATTTGGGCGCAATGGCTGGTGGTTGACAGTTTCTCGCCATGAAAAAACAGGTGGGGAAAATGGATGGGGCGGCTCTGGGGATACTAAACAATGGAAGTTTGAGTACTGAACATGTCGCCAGTGGTTACGATATCGACACCACAGGGCTCATCAACAATGGACACCAGTGGACATAACATGAATATACATGGAGATAGAACCAATCGAAACAGGGATGGTATCTGCTCACAAGAATTGGTTGGCTGATATGGATTACCCACAGACATACTGATGCGACCATAACCATCAACAATCTGGTCGGCGGAGCTACCTGTTGATCATGCATGAAAATTGAGATACAACAAACTAAAATTGGGGCACGAGGTCTAATCATTCTGAATTGGTTGGTCCCAAGCCACTTTTGACCAAAAATATGAAAATCAATTGGGCTCATCACCTCTGGAAAACGATAAATAATTGAAACCACCAGCTGGGCTTAAATCAGTGCCGTTGGCTTCCAATCGGCATAGGGATCCCTTAAATTTGTTGCACCAGAAGCGTTTACCTGAAAAAGCGCTACCCCTCAAATCATGTCCCTTACTGAAATAGCAGTGTGTCAAAACCTTGTACCCCTGGTGAACATCAAAATAGCTGGTAAATGGATGTTCATCCCACTGAAAATGGTATTGATAGGTATTGATCCATACCCAAATGGCCATTTGAAGGGATGCACTCTATTTGGGGTCTAACCTTTCATCGCAGATGCCAACATCCAAGAACTCTCAAATCGGAAGATCATGACCATCAGGATAATCGCCACCAGTAGTGAAAGCTAGAAGAAACCAGTCATCCATGTCCATCCATCCATCCATCCATCCATCCATCGATCCATCGATCCATCTATCCATCTATCCATCTCTATCTACCTCTATCTATCTCATCTCTATCTCTATCTATCTATGTATCTATCTCTATCTCTATCTCTATATCTATCTATCTCTATCTATCTCTATCTATCTCTATATATCTCTATCTATCTCTATCTATCTCTATCTGTCTCTATCTATCTCTATATCTATCTATTTTTATTTCTATATATCTCTATTTAATTGAATCTATCTATATTTATCTTTATCTATATCTATCTCTATCTATATCTATCTATATCTATCTATATCTATCTATCTCTCTATCTCTCTATCTCTCTATCTCTCTATCTCTCTATCTATCTATCTATCTATCTATCCATCTATCCTATCTATCCTATCTATCCTATCTATCCTATCTATCCTATCTATCCTATCTATCCTATCTATCCTATCGATCCTATCTATCCTATCTATCCTATCTATCCTATCTATCCTATCTATCCTATCTATCCTATCTATCCTATCTATCCTATCTATCCTATCCGATATCCTATCTATCCTATCTATCCTATCTATCCTATCTATCCTATCTATCCTATCTATCCTATCCTATCTATCCTATCTATCCTATCTATCTATCCTATCTATCCTATCTATCCTATCTATCCTATCTATCCTATCTATCCTATCTATCCTATCTATCCTATCTATCCTATCTATATCTATCCTATCATCCTATCTATCCTATCTATCTATCTATCTATCTATCCTATCTATCTATCTATCTATCTATCTATCTATCTATCTATCTATCTATCCTATCTATCCTATCTATCTATCTATCTATCCTATCTATCCTATCTATCCTATCTATCCTATCTATCCTATCTATCCTATCTATCCTATCTATCTATCTATCTATCTATCTATCTATCTATCTATCTATCTATCTATCTATCTATCTAATCTAATATAATCTAATCTAATCTAATCTAATCTAATCTAATCTATCTATCTATCTAGCTAGCTATCTATCTATCTATCTATCTATCTTTCTATCTATCTAATCTATCTATCTATCTATCTATCTATCTATCTATCTATCTTTCTATCTATCTATCTATCTATCTATCTATCCTATCTATCCTATCTATCCTATCTATCCTATCTATCCTATCTATCCTATCTATCTATCTATCTATCTATCTATCTATCTACCTATTCACCTATTTACCTATCTACCTATCTACCTATCTACCTATCTACCTATCTACACCCGCCCATCCATCCATCCATCAATCAATCAATTCTATCTACCTACCTACCTACCTTTGCCCTAAATAAATGCCTTCTATGGGTACATATTACCAACACCATGGCTGAGGCGATGGAGGCGAGAATTTCGCAAATGTCATCACTGCCAGGATGGTTGGTATATAATCTTCAGATCGATATATGAGGTGCGCATGTGTGCATGCCGCTATGAGTATATCTACATGTATAAATACATTTATCTACATACTATACATGTATATATTGTAATAGCATGGTTATATGGCAGTGTGTCAAAACCTTGTACCCCTGGTGAACATCAAAATAGCTGGTAAATGGATGTTCATCCCCCTAAAAATGGTATGTATAGGTATTGATCCATAGCCATATGGATATTGTATGCATGGCTATACGTAGTACTCCGTAGTACACGTACGTATCCCTCCACAGCCCTTCCACGGCCTGGTTGGGACTGTTGGGTTTCAATCCCTTCTGGCAGAAGGCAGTAAAGGGCGGCATCATGGCAGTCCCTGCTTCCAGCTCGCTGTCTCCATAAGTGTCCACAGGCTTCATGTTGGAATGGCGTGTTCGCCCATCACGGGTCCTTGGATGTTGCTGGATGTTGCTGGATGTTGCTGGATGGTAGACTCATTTCTGCTTCTGAAATGCGCATCCATCTGAATTTGCCGGAATGTTCACGGGCCTTGAATACCTCCGTTGAAATGGCTATTTTATCTCTTTTGGTCGGTTGAAATCCACGATTCTGGCGGGGCCAAGTATCCACACATCGCCATCGTTCCAGACTAAGGTGTCATCAATCAAGCGAGCCCGTCCTTGGAAACTCGTCCTACTGGCTCGGAAAAGGCCAAGAAAAGGCCAGCTTCGATGGGCCGTGATGAGATGGTAATTCACCAACAAACAGTATATCTGGTTGGTGCTTTTAACCATCTTGAAAAATGTGAAAGGCAATGGGAAGGATTATCCCATATATGAAATGGAAAATAAAACATGTTCCAAACCACCAACCAGTATATGGTATATGACTTCACCATACTTCACCCACAACAAAATGGATGAAAATCGGAGCTATGATTTACTCCAAATAGAGCGGGGCAGGAGCAATCCAAGGGCTGCATGACTAGCTATGCAGATCTTACCCATCACTGGGGATTCAAAAATGACAAACTGGGACTATGCCAGCACTCTCTTGTGGAAGATCCACCAGTTCCTCCAAAGAATCGAAAGTTGGGATTTACTGTATCGTTGCCACTACGGGAGGCTACCTTTTTTATCTGATCATTCAAGTTGTGAGTGAATATTCCGATACAACTACAAAGTGTTCGGAAGTATTGTTGTCATTGTAGAACCGGCAAAGATAAAATGACGTGGTACTGAATAATATAACTCATCAATCCAGCGCAAGGCGCAATGACAAAGTCACCATGTCTCATGACCCAACACACCATGGGATACATTTTCCGGTTTGTCTGGAATAGGGTACGGTATCCTCGAATTTGATGGTTGTTCATCATATTACAATGACCGTCAATGACCATTTTGGGGAGTGTACCTCATTTTCAGACAGACCCACTTTAGATTAACCAGTCTCGTGACTCCGTGTCGCTTGGCAATTGTGCAGAAAGAGGTCAATCTATGACCAACTTACATCAAAGAAAGATGGCCAGCCAAAATAAGAAATCCCATCTCAAGGCAAGTTGTGATGTCTTTTACTTCATCATCAGCGATGGCCATCACCGATGGCCATCACCGAGCACCCTTTCCAGAGGACCCAGCCATGCCCAGAGTCGTCTTTCTCCCATGACGTCAATGGAAAAGCTGTTGAGACCTTCCTGGGACGTTGGAGTTAGTTATTCCATGTTATTCCCCCTATTTTCCAGGTCCACCAGGTCCACCAGGTCACCAGGTCCACTTGTTTGGGAACCATCATATGAATTCCTACAAATTCTGGTTGGTCTTATGAGGGTCTGGAGGATCCTTATTTACATGTTGACCCAGAATACATTTAAGAACAATAATCACAACAGATTGCCTTATTGCTACAATGTTTTTTTGGTTATTGCTGTTATCATTTTTTACTGCATAGTATTGTCTGCATCATCATGTATAATTCAATTATTTATACCTATGAATATGTAATATGTCTGTATAAATACAATTCACAGAATCATCGAATCACATCTAAATCTAACACAACCACCTCATAAGTTCCCTGATGAAAGCTCCAAAGGGCACGAAGGCATCGGAAGTCGCTGCCAGACCAGCCCTAGGAATCCCAGAGGACTCTTTTGGCTCCATCCCACGGAATGGCGATGTAATCGTTAGCACGTCAAGAGTATGCCCTCCAAATGCAAGCTGCACAGGCCTGTCGGCAAAATATGCCGACCAAGTCTCTTCCCGAAGCCATCACCGAATCTCAAGCTTTGAAGGAAGCTCGGCAATGCAACCTGCTCTAGGCTCTGGTTGAAGTCGTGGCCGAAAGTCAGGTTTTCAAGAAAGTTTGGCAACGAAACCCCAGTGAGGCACTGGTTGAAGTTGTCGCCAAGAGTCAAACTCTTGAGACCATCTGGCAAAGTCACACCCTTCAAGCTCTGGTTGAAGTCACGCCCGAAAGTCAAGCTTTGAAGGCTCTTTGGCAAAGATGCGTGCTGTAGACTCTGGTTGAAACAATCCCCAAGGGTCAAACTTTCAAGACTATCTGGCAAAGTCACACAGTTCAAGCACTGGTTGAAGTCACGCCCGAAAGTCAAGCTTTGAAGGCTCTTTGGCAAAGCTGCGTGCTGTAGACTCCGGTTGAAAAAATCCCCAAGGGTCAAACTTTCAAGACTGTCTGGCAAGGTCACACCCTCCAAGCTCTGGTTAAAATCACGACCAAAGGTCAAGCTTTGAAGGCGGTTTGGCCACGCTATATCTATCAGGCTGTGGTTGAAACAATCCCCAAGGGTCAAACTTTCAAGACTGTTTGGCAAGGTCACACCCTCCAAGCTCTGGTTGAAGTCATGACCGAAAGTCAAACTTTGAAGACCTTTTGGCATGCTCACACCTTTCAGACTCTGGTTGAAGTCACGACCGAAGGTAAAGCCTTGAAGACTGCTTGGCCATGCGATGCCCTCTAGGGTTTGGTTGAATTGGTGGCAGAAAGTCAGGTTTTTGAGATGATTTGGCAAGATCAGGCCATGGTTGAATTGGTGACCGACTGTCAAGCTTTGAAGATTCTTTGGCAAAGCTATGTGATCAAGACCCTGGCTAAAACAATCTCCAAAAGTCAAACGTTGAAGGCTTTCTGGCAAAGAGACGTCCTCCAAGCTCTTGTTGTAATAATCCCCAAATGTCAAACATTCAAGCATACTTGGCAGGTGCAAGCTCTTCAGACTTTGCTTGAAGTTTTTCCCAAAAGTCAACCTTTTAAGACTGCTTGGCAGGATCGTGCCTACTAGGCTCTGGTTAAAAGCAAAGCCAAACGTCAAGATTCGAAGCTTGTTGGGTAAAGTTACACGTGCTAGACTCTGGTTGAAGCTATCTCCGAATGTCAAGGTTTGAATGCTGCTTGGCAAAGTTGTGTGCTCCAGGCTGCAGTCGAAATAGTCTCCAAAAGCTAAGCTTTGAAGGTTCTTTGGCCAAGCTTGCTCTAGAACCCGGTTGAAACGATCCCCAAAGGTCAAACTTTCAAGACTGTTTGGCAAGGTCACACCCTCCAAGCTCTGGTTAAAATCACGACCAAAGGTCAAGCTTTGAAGGCGGTTTGGCCACGCTATATCTATCAGGCTGTGGTTGAAACAATCCCCAAAGGTCAAACTTTCAAGACTGTTTGGCATGCTCACACCTTTCAGACTCTGGTTGAAGTCACGACCGAAGGTCAAACTTTCAAGACTGTCTGGCCAAGTCATACCTTCGAGGCTCTGGTTGAACCGTTTACCAAATGTCAAGCTTTGAAGACCTTTTGGCAAGTTCACACCTTTCAGACTTTCGTTGAAGTCATGACCGAAAGCCAAGCTTTGAAGGTACTCGGGAAGGGAGTCCATATACGGCCCAGGTAGCGCACCTTCCAGCCGCGTCACCCCTTCCATCGGAAACTCTCCCTTGGGGCTTGCAAGTCCTCGGACAGAACTCCATGCCGCATATAAATTGGTTGGCACAAAAGTGCATGACACGGTTGCTTCCTGGCTCGAATCAATGCCTTGCTGTTGCAACGCCAGGTTGGGCAGCAGCTCTGACCCATGGTGGTGCAAGACCAACTTTCGACCTTTTCTGGAGTCCAACTTTGCGGAGACCAACTCTTGTAGCTCCCGGCCTGAAGTCGCAGGAGTCACACTCAGCCTGAATCCTTCACCACTCAAGAACTGGACTTGGAGGTGAATTGGGTTGCCATCTGATGAGGAACCTGCCAGCCAGCTCTCTGCACTACTAGCCATGGCAGGGTGAGCCAAGAATCTCTGCGGGGGTTCCCTGTTAGAAGCGTAACATCCGCTGAACTTGCATGCTCCTTGACTAAATCCATTCATATCTGTCAATACTCAATGATCTGAGACAATGTGGCCAACTTACCCAATTATGTACTCTAGAATCGCTTCCCCAAAGTTGAGGAAAAAGCTTTGATCTGAAAGAAACGCTTTCCCAAGATTTTGGTTCGTCACTTGGACCTCCCAGGTCTGGGACGTTCTTGCTCGCAGACTTGTGCGGAACATCGCAGGAAACCCTCTGTTCATAGGAAAAACCTACGGTTTCCTTTCATTTGTCCTATCAAAACACCTAGGTTGGTGGCTCAACCACCCATCTCTAAAATTGATGTCACAACGGTCACAGCGAATGTCCTGTTCCATTCAACTACTAATAAACTAGTGATGTTTTTTTCTCGCCGCAAGGTGAAGCCCCCAGTTGTAAGTTGCAAAAAAAACACCACGTTGACTGTAGTTATATTCCCCATAAACCCAGTTAAGCGTAAACGGGAACCTCATCTTGCTAGGCGCAGGAGAACTCCAGCATTCCCAAGGATCAACCGTCAAGAATAGCACTAAAGAAACCGTCAATTCTCTCAAAATCTTCCCCCATCACCCAAAAAATACCACACTCCAGTAGTTCAACATAGCTACAGTATGGAAAACGGCCCATTTACGGACGATTTCCCGCTACCTATTTAAAAAAATGATTCATTCCATAGCTATGTTAATTGCTAGAGGCTATCCCTATTTTTAGATGTTAACCTTGTGAAAAAAAAACTTTGATATTGAAAGATGGTGATGTTCATTGATTTTCCACTATATTCAATTGCCAGATGGGTACTGGTATCACTCACCAAAAAAAACTCCAACCACAACCTCCATTCCATACCCAAGATTCCCAGGCCATCGTGGTGCTTAAGCCCAGGCCATACTGCACCATATCGCCGTCGATGACTTTGGTCCCCGTGTGGCCGCGCGCCACCCAGCGGCCGTCCACATTAGAACTAGTGGAACCGGAAACCATCAGGCGACCTCGGAAACGATCTGGGTCACTAAGCTGAAAAACGACTAATATTGGGATACTGTAATTCCCCATGAAACAAATCGTCCAGTGAGATCGCAGTGAGGTCCTTATGAAACTTACCCAGAAACGATGCCACAGAAATTTGGGGGCACCTTGAAGCAATAGAAAGAGGGGAAGAGACGTCTTTTCAAAGACTGAAGAAAACTAACATCAGTTCAAAAATCTCAAAGAAACCTGAGACAAGAGTGAATCAGATTGAATCAGTATATATCATCTCGGGAGTTGCTGATGAACAGTTGCATTCTGATGTATATGCAGCCATCATCCCAGTAGGTCAGCTGCTGAGGGGGTTCCTAGGGATTTCCCCCCCGATGCGAAAACCATAGCTGGGTCATGTTACAAGCCAAGAACACAGGATGCTGTATATGAATTATCATGTAACATTACATTAGAACGTATGTATTATGTATATTATATATACACAATTGCCCCTGTTGTGATTCTTGGCCCATCTAGGTGCAGCCAAAAAGGACCTTTGTGACCACAGCGTTTCAGCGTTTCAATGGGATTCTCCTTCTCGAGCCTGCGGCCGTTGGGACTTCACCCGGAAAATGGATAGTGAAGATCAAGATGGGGGGCCCAAGCCTGAAAGAAGCTTCATCCTCGGAGGGTCACAGCAATTATGCATAATACATATATACATATGTATATATATATTCACATCTACATATACATCTACATATACATCTACATATACATATTCACATCTACATATACATATTCACATCTACATATACTATTTCCCATCTAATATCATCTACAATCCATGTTTTTTTTTCTCTACATATACTATGCACATCTCATATACATCTACCTTACGTCTACTATACATATTCACATCTACATATACTCTACATATACTTCTACATAACCTATACTCTACTATACATATTCACATCTTACATATACATATACATATCATCTACATCTACATATTACATCTACCATATACATCTACATATACATCTACATATACATATTCACATCTACATCTACATATACATAGTCCAATCTACATACTCATCTACATAATCATCTACATCTCCATATCACATCTACATATACATCTACATATACATCTACATATACATAGTCACATCTACATCGACAGATACAGCTACCTATACATCTTCATATACATCACATAATACATATTCACATCTACATATACATCTACATATACATCTACATATACCGATTCACCATCTACATAGCTCATCTACAATATACATCTACATATACATCTACATATACATCTACATATACATATTCACATCTACATATACATATTCACATCTACATATACATCTACATATACATCTACATATACATATACATCTACATATACATATACATCTACATATACATATTCACATCTACATATACATCTACATATACATATTCACATCTACATATTCACATCTACATATACATCTACATATACATATACATATTCACATCTACATATACATCTACATATACATCTACATATACATATTCACATCTATATATACATCTACATATACATCTACATATACATATTCACATCTACATATACATCTACATATACATCTACATATACATATTCACATCTACATATACATCTACATATACATATTCACATCTACATATACATCTACATATACATCTACATATACATATTCACATCTACATATACATCTACATATACATCTACATATACATATTCACATCTACATATACATCTACATATACATCTACATATACATATTCACATCTACATATACATATACATATACATATTCACATCTACATATACATCTACATATACATATACATATACATCTACATATACATCTACATATACATATTCACATCTACATATACATATACATATACATATACATCTACATATACATCTACATATACATATACATCTACATATACATCTACATATACATCTACATATACATATACATATACATATACATATTCACATCTACATATACATCTACATATACATCTACATATACATCTACATCTACATATACATATACATATACATATACATATACATATCATATATATATATACATACAATTATGTATATATATATGTATGTATATATATATATTATACATATATAAAGTGGAATAAAAAAACACTATGAATCATTCATCATGTGGGACTACCATTGACTATCTGTGTTTGGTCGTGGTGTCTACGCTCTCATGATCCCGGCCGGAAATTTTCAGAGAATCGATGGGAACGTCCCAGCCACGTTTGATCAACAAAGGGTATCCCTGAGTTTTGTCAATTGACTCGACTTGATTAGGTTTATTGATTAGCATGCGACTTTTTTTGTGAAGCCGTGTGTTTTGTGGCGATGTCGTAAGCAAACCCCAGTCTTGCAGATTGACTCGAGTTGATAAATTTCCAATTTTTGCTGCCCAGCTTACATTCAGATTCCATAATGCTGCTTGGGCCATTACATCCGCGAAGTGTCACTTAGTGCAGACCTATACAAGAACCCAACTTATCCACAATCGCTCAACAGATTTCACAGGTTCTCCCCAAAGTTTATTTGCGAACCTGGGCTAAACCCTGTTTCTGCTGGGTTTCACCCCAACTCTTTTGGCTTAACATAGCTCCATGTTCAAGCCCCATTTCTTGACATACTTTCCGGCCCTTCAAGCCCCACATTTCTTGATATTAGGATGTACTAGGTAGTACTAGCTTCTCCCATCTTTCCGGAATTTCAAACAACGAACCTTTGAGGTCCCCAACTCCCAACCCCCCATGCCCCCATGCCCCATGACCTCTCCAGGAGCTCCATCCCCTCCTCATCGAGGTCGCAGCACAGCCAGCCGTCCCCCGCCGGCCGACCGATCACCACAGAGCCCCAATAGGCGACGTGCTCGGGGTCCTACGCGGTCGAGCCGGGGACGGGATTTCACGGAGATTGGACCAATGAAAAGTAGGAGTTCAATGAACCTTGGGATTGAACCACTCAAAGTGGAGATTTCATGGGAATCTAAATTCATGTAGTATGATTTATCCAGATTTATCATCATTTTAAATCTACCTCTTGATTGTTGAATGGCTGCGGCTTCTTTTTTCCTACTCAACCAAAGGGAAAAGGACATTCAGTGGAGTTGTCCGTGTATGTGATGAAGTTAAGCAACAACAATGGGGGTATCAAGCCAACAGTTTCATGGGGGATATAGTCGGCTAGAAAGGGATATATAACCAGGGGAGTACCCCGAATCTATTGCCATTTTTTATGGGGGAAATTGTGATTCTCCTGCGTATTTAGGGGTACTCAATTTTCAGACAAAGCAATGCATAATATGTATATATATATATATGTGTGTGTGTGTATTATGTATATACATGTGTATACGTGCCATAATTAATCATGTTGCATGGGATGGGATGAATGGGGTATTGCCATCCCACCAGCATGAATGGGATTCTGCTATTCAAGGGTATTAATGAACCCCTAACAAGGGGATGACCGTCCCCCTATATAATCCAATACGGGTATATCACCCTACTTTTTGTCATGCCACATATCATGGGGATTTATGGGGTGTATATAACCCTATAGCTCCAGACAAACCTCGCATCATCGCCTTTATTTTCCGTGAAAAGTGTGCGCTACGACCCATGGTGAGACAAACGACAAATCCATGTTCTAATGTGGATACTTCTGCAAAATATTCCATTGAAAGTCGAAAGCACGAGGCTTTTGCTGATTGAAGATGCTTGGATGTTGTTTTTTTGCACCCAGTGGAGGGGCTGGTTTTAGCCCACGGTGTTCTGAATCCACCAACGCATCAGGTCTGAAAATTGGGGATTGACCCCGCAGTGTGGCGATCAGAAAATATCGAGAATATGATCAACCAGTGGATTGAATATGGTAATTAGATGTACCCTCTGGTTTTTTAACATAGCCATGGAAAATCACCATTTTGAATAGGTAAACCATCTATAAATGGGCAATTTTCCATGGCTATGTTAAATAACCAGAGGGTATATAATTAGCCCTATTTCCAGACAAACGATTAGGCGTTGGAGTTCTAGCGGGATGCCCGTCTTCTTTGAACCCAAGTTCTATCCTGGTCAAAGGGTCAAAAGCCAGGAACCCTGCATTGACCCTGTAGTTCACATCCCAAAAGTGTAGCTAGAATGGTTGTGATGCTAAGATGTGAATGATACCTCCTTTGCCGCTTCATTTGGTATCAACACCAAAATAGGTTGCAAATGGATGTTCATCACCTGGTTGCAATGCTCCCCCAGGTCTTGAACCATCGTCAAATCCACTATCCACCTCCTAAATTTTGGTATTGACCAAATACCTAGGGTTCATTATCAATATTCTGGTTAAAAGAGAAAAACGAAACATCGTTCTGTTGTACTGTTTGCCCTCTCCGCTCACCCATCTCCGCTACCCCTGTCAGCACGTTCCTTGTCGTCGACGCTCTTCGACAATCGATAACAGACCTGATATCCGGCAGTGCCATAGAAACTAAGCCCTTTTGATTCAAGGATATCAACCAAGAAAGGGGGATATCAACTGGTGGTTGAGATGCCCGCTTGAAAATATGCGACTGTCAATTGGAACCATCCTCCCAAAGAGACTTGTGTTTTTCAAAAAATGAAACCACTGGTCAACCATTTTTCATGTGGATACCCAAAATTGATTGATACGTGGTGATATCACCAACATTCAGCAACCAGATGGAGAAATCAGCCAAAAATAGTTGATGTCTAGTTGTATATGATGTAAGAACTGGACATCATCCTGGTAGACATGACAATGAAGCAAATGAAACCACCAACCAGAAAATGTCCCTGAAAACTAGAAAGGAATCGCTTCAATGATGGGATTCAGTGGAGTCTGGCTGGAGAAATCCCAAAATGGCGTCGTCATTTCGCTCATACAAGGCACGACTTAGACAACATAGAGTTGTTTCTTTCTCAAAATACTATAAATGTGATACCTAAGTCAGTCATATATATATATCATATTCTATATTGCATTGTATTATATCATATTCTATATTGTATTGTATTATATCATATTATATTGTATTGTATGTTATATATCATATATTGTATATTTTGCATTAAATATTGTATATTTTATATTATATGAAATTATATCATATATTAAAAATTATATAATATATAATATTATATATTATATTGTATTACATATTATATTATATATTATATTATATATATTATAGTTTATTTTATATTATATATTATAGTAAATATTATAGTATATATTATATTATCTATTATATTAAATATTATATTATATATTATATTATATTGCATTCTTAAAAATTTTATTATAATATTAATACTATAATATATTTTATTTTATTGCGGTATATATACATTATATAATGTATATATATATATATTATTATAATATATTATATTATCTTATAAATATTATATTAACTTACAGTATATTATATTATGTTATATTATATTATATAATATATTAGATCATATCATATTATATTATATATTAAATTATCCTAAACTATTTTTTTACTATATTCTTTATATTATATACAATATATATCATATATTATTATATCTTATTATATATCATTATATATTATTATATATTAATATATATTATATTATATTATATTGTATATCATAGTATATTATATTATATTACATTAAATCATACTAAATTATATTCTAATATTAGCTTATTTTTTATGTATTATATCATATCATATATTGTATTGTATATTATATCTTATATATTATATACTATATATTATGTATTATATATTATATATTATATATTTTAAATTATATATTATAAATTATATATTATAAATTATATATTAAATATTAGATACTATATGTTATATACTATATATTATTTATTATATATTATATATTATATATTATATATATATTATATTACTGTATATATTAAATGTTATATTTTATATATTATATATTACATATTATATATTATATGTTATATATTAAAAATTATATATTCTATATTATATATCATATATCATATATCATTAGTTATTATATATATATATATCCCAGTTAAGCTCTTATGGTCGATGGACGCTAACTTCTATGTAACATACTTGTATAGTTGTGACCCTATATATACCATAAAACGGTACTAGTATTAGTTATAAGTTAGTTATATCATCTTTTAACCCAGCTACAAGTTAATGGAGTTGTCCCCAGATGAGCCATGGAAGAATACCCTATCCCACCCATCCCATTAGACTGGTCAGCAAACGGCTATCGGCTATCCTATTCTGGGTTAGTCCATACCCAATAAACAATTCAGTATAGCCCCATCTCTCTCCATATCCATATCCACATATATATATATAGTTATATAATTATATAAGTTTATGTGTATATAATATATATATATACACCCATCAACAAGGTTCTTCGGAAGGCTCGGATGTCTCCACTGATAGAGATATATATATATATAGGTCAGTATCCATTGATTGGCACGTCCTTCTCCGCTGCCAAGACACACCATGGGCCCGGTCCTTTAGTTCGCTGTTGTCCACGCGATACCTGCCACTGGAGGCGGGTTTACCCGATTATTCGGACAAACCCAAGTAGGGAGGAAAGCTGAAGTTAGTTAGATGGGGACTGTTATTTCCAAACTTTTCAGGATCAAAAGAGGACTGTTGCGACATGTTGAAACCAGCAACCAGTAGCTGTATGATTATGCTCATTTTCAGCACGTAACTCTACACATTCCTGGCAGCTGTTTACGATGAACAACTCTACCTGTGGCTGATGAACAATATCAAAGTAAGTCAAATCTCAAATCTAGTGAATGACACATACAATGAATTCCCCTGATAACCTTCATCTCTTCTGGAAAGAAGGGATTTGGTGTTCTAAATCCTCTGTATTATCATACGCCCAAACTTTGTACAATTTTCACCGGATATGATATAATATGATATACATTGATATACTGCATTTTCTGTAATCCAATAGTGAGGTCGCTTCCAGTAGCCAGCATGAAACCCACATATCTCACAGAATCTCACAGCCAGAATCGCTGACTCACCAGCAACCGTACCTCCAGTTGATACCGAAAGTGTTGGTTTCCCGGTGTTTCCCACTAAACATGGCCACGAATTGCTACGCCTGACAACACCGCAGTCACTTTTAAGGCAAAAGACGTCACCTGCACCGCCCTCACCAGCTGCACACCAAGGTGCTTGTTCTGACTGACTTCCTTCAAAACACAACAGCCTCCGAGCCCGGGGAGGTTCACCACTGTTCGATCTTGTTGGGTCCAAATATAGCCGCCCTGTGAACCGTTAGCCGCAAGATTGGCATGTGTATCTATCTATATATACACATATTAATGATTATTAATGTGGGAAGGGTGATATATGTAGACAAATACATGATCATGTACCTATGGACTCTTTGCTATCTTCTTGATATCCTAGATATCCCAAAAGACTATGGTCCAAGGGAATCCTCCGACCTTGCCCCGACCCAGCCTTTGATTTCCAGTGGCAAGTATCCTCAATGAGATGGCCATGGAAGGGATTTGGTCATGTGGTCCCAATCATACACATAAATAAACCAGCCTCAATTAAGGTTTATTGGGTATACCGTACCCCTCTTGGATGCTGTAAAACTGAGAAAACCATGAGAAAACAAGCCGACAACCAGCAGGAATCGCCAACAAAGTTTGCCATCACCAAGGAAGAGCTGGTTCTAAGCAAAAAAGTATGGATGATCATAGATGCCTCCAAACATTCCCGATTTCTGTTGGTCAAACTCCATCTTCCAATTCAAAATGTCAATGCTGGTGAAATCTCCATATCTTTCTTGGTGAACTCCCAGCCCTGATTATATTTCCATTAGATCACTATTCTTCCTGGGTCAAACGGTTAAACATCATCTGGTTGGTGGTTTTAACCATCTTGAAAAATGCTAGTCAATGGGAAGGATTATCCCATATATTATGGAAAATAAAGAATGTTTGAAACCACCAACCAGTCATGAAACCACCATTTGTCATGGCGAACTCCCCAAAAGCACCGTTTCTTTCGACCCAAACCATCCGCCAAGCATCGCGTGCGACTCTCCGTCATCTTCGGTATATGGCCTCCACGCCGTGGGAGCACATTGGTATACCTCAGCCAAATTTACCCTCCTGGAATCCAACGTTGGATTCAAAGAGGGGGAAAAAAACCACGGATGGGGAGGGGGCCAGCTGGCAAACAAACATGTGGAGTTGTAAAACACTACCGCGTATTCAGCTAATGTTTTTGAACTCATTTGGACTGCAAACTCATCGTCCATTCCATGGATGGAAGAGGCGGCAACTTTCTTAATTGTCGTCCCAGTCTCCATCTGGCAATTTTGTGCTCCTCATTCTTTCCAGCAGTGCACCCCATGGCTTTGCAGCCGCGTGCCGTGGTGCTTGAGAGCTTCTCAGCTGGGTGGCGAGAGGATCCTCTACGAAAATCATTCAGTACTTATCACTACTTCAGTACTGTCACTTGAAGGGCTAAAGGTGGGAAGTCTTGAAGATGGAAACCGAAATCTGATATTGGGTATGGTTCACCAAGGGATCAAACGGCTCATTTAGCCACTTCGTCCTGCGCCATGCAGATTTTTTTTGATATCCTCATGTTCATTGGCTGCCTTGAAAACCAAAATGGGACTATAAATCTACCGTATCATTTGGGAATCCATGACAATTTTCATGGGAGTAAATCCCTGAGTCTTGCTGGTATGGCCCCGCAAAACCACATTGTTCGCAAAACCACAATTTTTGCTGTGCAATGCCTGTTTGGTCAATCAATACCTAGATGGCTGGTGGCAAATCAGCCACAATCAGAGTACTTGAGTTGGTAAAGTTTGATGGTTAAATCTAATTTTTTACGGTTAAATCCATCACTTTCCTATGTCAAAATCAGCTAAATCCACCCAGTTTCCATGGTTAAATACACCACTTGGTCCTTTTAAATCCCCTGATTCTGTTGGTTTCAGTCCGCTGGGCACTACCACGTCGGCTCGACATGCCCAACGTGCCGGGCCCGTGCCTCGTGGCCCATGCCGTATCTCTGCGCCTGGCGCCCCAAAATTCGTTCAGATCTCATTGGATCTACCACTTCTTGTGCACATTTTCTGTGTATAATGTGGTAAACCCAAAAGAAACCACCAGTTTCGGAGGGTTTATACCACCCATTTCTGGTGAATTTCAGGATGGTTTACAAGTTTGCATATCATATGATATTTGGCTGGATTTTCATAGTTCACCATCCTGAAAAATTTTGACATTAGGCCACAATTATTGGGTTATTCCCCTACTAACCACCATCTTGTGGTGACATCATTTGAAGTCCCGATAATTCAGCTAGATACACACATATATGTATATATGTATATGTATATATGTATATGTATATATGTATATGTATATATGTATATGTATATATGTATATGTATTTATATATGTATATACACGTGTGTGTATAATATATATATATATGTATATATATATATACATAATATATGTATTTATACAGCTTGAATATTGTATAAGAATGCATTGTATAAGAGTTTGAGGGGCTCGGATCCAAGGCGGGCTACATATTTTCAGCTATACCAAGCACTTTAAGAATTTGTGGAATAGGATTGCCAAATTCTGAAATTACTGCTTATACGTGAGGTTTGCAATTCCCCTTTGCGGTTCACTTTTTTTTTGGTGGAGTGACCAGTGACCCCTTATGGTCTTATGGGATGAAATCGGGTTTTGCAGAAAAACAATTTTTCAAGCTCCGAAAAAATGTTTTCTTCGCACATGCTTGGACTGCTTCCAATCCACGCAAAATCTATATATGGATAGACTTGGGGACCTGAAAGATTGTTTTTCCCAATAGCTTGATGAAAACAGCCCTGGCCAGGAAAAAACCGTGGCTAGAATCGAGCCCGCGACCACGATACCTTAGCCCAACGCTCTGCCGACTGAGCTCCGCGGCTCTTGGCAAGAAAGCAATTTTTCAGGCTCAAATTGTTTTTTTCCTATTCGCCCTGAACGATGAAATGGAATGAACCCTTCCCGCGGGGATTGAAGGGGCCCAGCTAGGCACTGCGAAAAAAAAAATCGCGCCCTGAAAAATTGTTTTTTCGGCGCTGCTCTTGTGAAACTCAGACAAGTCCGGCTTTGCAAAAAAAACAATTGTTCAGGTTCTTTAAAAAAAATTGCATGCCTCTTGTTACACCTGCCAACTCCACCTCGTTACCTCGCTTTAGCTCGCTCCAAATTGCGCAGATGCATACAATAGAGAACTAAGAATGCCCTAAGAATTTGATGGGCCCTCGACCTATTGTGGTGGAAATTTGCCTGCATTTAAAAAATAAGAATTTGATGGACCCTGGGCCTCAAGCTTTCAGATTCTTAACCAACTCTCGGGCTGTATATATACGTATATACATATATATATATATGTGTACATTAAATAAAATATGTGTATATATATATATATGTACATATCTATTTATATATATATGTATATATATATATATATATTTGTATGTATATATATATATATATGTGTGTGTGTATGTGTATATATATATATGTATATATCTATATGTGTATATATATATATGTATATATATATATGTGTGTGTTTGGATGTATTTTACATATGTATACTGTATATATTACATACATATATATATATATATATGTGTACGGTGGTATAGATTAGATAGATGTTAGATTCTATTGGATTGGATTAGATCGGACTAAATTCGCTTAGTTTGGATCTAGATTTAGATGTTGATTTGGTTTAGATTTGAATTTAGATTCGATTAGATTAGATTCGATTAGATTGGATTAGTTAGATGTGTAGATAGATAAGTGGATAGATATGATAATGTGATAGATCTGATAGCTTAGATACGATAGATACGTCAGATAGTATCTATACTGTATGTACATGTATACACATATTTCTGAAAATGTTGATATTGTCCAGACAAGATAATAACATGAGTATAACAATGAAGTTAATGAAGATTGGGATATATCCGCGGATATCAGAAAAAAGTGTGGCTGAACCAACTAAAGAAGGCGGGATGGTCAACACATGTAACTGGAACTTTCAAGGCGGAGCCACATAAATTGGGTGCAGCCGTTGCTGCCGTTGCTGTTCCTTGGGTCGAAATCTTCAGCCACACCACGCTAGGTTTGCCTGAAAATATGATTTTGATGGTTGAGAACATCATGTTCATTGAAATGGCCATTTGAGTGTATTTTTCAGTTTTCAGACAAAGCCATTTACATCTGTTGATAGGACAGCCCATGGACAACCCCAGCATGCCTTCCGCTGCTCCTTGAGGACTTGCAGTTGAGTCGCCACCTGGAGGACCAAGAGATTGGGGAAATTACTTGGTGGTTCACCTGTTGTATACATACATACATACATACATATATATATATATTATAGTACGAGTAAGTAGATTATTACCCGAGCCATAAGTAGAGTAAGTAGGCCTACATACAGGAATCCATTATAACTGGGGTTCCTAACGAACTTACGATTCCTGGGGTGAGCCACAAGTACCCAATTCTGTTTCCACATAATAAATAAATAGATATATATATATATAATATACGTATATAATAGGTATGTTCAATGGCAAGATGGGAACACCTGCAAATATGTTCAATGGAAACTTACTCAAGTCAGAAAAATCTACAGGAATAGCCACTGTTCACTGCATTGATCTGAGAGGATCAAAAAACGGGTTTCGTGCAATACCCAACGCGACCAATACGCTACCAATAAAAACCCTAAACCCAAAACATTGTGTTTTATATATATATATAAGTTTCTTGTATTGGGCTTACCACATTTAGGAACCAATGATAAGAACAAGTATCATCCCAGTATTAAGCTGAGATTCGTCCCAGTCCCGTAGTTCATCCCAGTAAAACCAGCATGTAAAAGAAAAAACGTGAACCCCCCCTAGAATATCTTAGAATCTCCCCATTCTCTACCGATCTGATCATCTAAGGTTCGATCACCAAAGGCCTATTCGGAGACCTGGGGTACCAGGCAAAAAAATCCTGGTTGCGGTCCCCACCTTGGCATGCGCCGTGGTCAGCTGCTGGAACTGCTTCTCCGGCACCATGGGCTCCTGCGCTCCTCGTCCCCTTGGGCCTCGAAGCAGTTCCAGTTCGCGCTGCAGCAGCAGAACGCGGTTCTGCAAGCGGTGCACCTTAAAGGCACCCGGTTTCGGAACTTATATTAGGAGTTGTTTGGGGAAACGAGAATCTTGCGGGAATTCAGTTGGGAATATATGGATGATTGTGGGTTAAACGTGGGAATAATGAAGGGTTTATCAATCAAAAACGTGGTTTAACCATGCCAAACAGGATTTTGACCAGAATTTGATGGGAATATGATGACAATTACCCTTTCTGCAACTTTTGTTTTGAGCAACCCAAACATGAAATATCTTATGGATTTTGCATGTTTGTTTCAATATTTTGGAGTTGAATTTGAGAATTATCTATACCCCATCCGTTACTGGAGGGTGGATATAGGGGAATAATGGGGATATTGGCGGCTACAAATGACCCAATGTTGAATGTGTTTAATGATGTTCATTATGGAATATTTCTAATTACGGATATTTTGTCGAAGCCATGAATCAGGGAGGGATATTGGGTTTCCCGCCTCCTGCGGCGATGGAAATTTTGAACAATGTGTCAGTTTTCTGCAGACTCATTTCAAAGATGTGTCGCAAGACAGGATGAAATGCTATCGACTGTACCTCCAGCATACACTGAACCTACCGTGCCACACCCCCACAACGAATCGTGGAACAAGCTCTACGGAGGATGGGTACATAAACCCAACTTTGGGACCAGCAAACCCATCGTCTTTTTGCTCATTTCCCTGCACGGGTCCTGTGAGTTGCGAAGTCTTGCATCACATCATTTGAACAATCTATTTGTTGCCCTGGCGCACAACAGGATTCTTCCAACCACCCCCGTCCCAGTCCTTTTTTCTCACGCCAGTTGTGCCCTCAGCTCCTCATTGGCAGCAGCTGCCTGACCATCAGCACCCCGCTGCAGGAACTCAAACAACGGCTCCGTGGCGCTGTGCGTCGTGGCTGGGTGGCTGGTGTGTCCGGCACTCACATCGCAAACGCCCTCGGACCAGGCGGCCAAGGGGGTGCCTCCAGCGATTTCTTGGCGAATGTTCAACATTTGGGGCTCCACCATGGAAAATGAGATGAAAATTAATTGAAATATATTGATTAAGAAACAACTAAAAATACTAAAGTACATTTGAACTTAGAAACGCTGGAACTAGGCGCGCACCCGCATGTGCATGCTACTTTAAAACAGAGATGTAGGTTCGATAGTCGTTCCCATCACAGAAAAACTCCTCGATAGTAGCGACTCATGAACCCCTCCTGCTTTATTCTGCTGAATCCTATGGGAACCTCTGAGGCACCCTGGGGCCCAGGGGCCTCATTCGCCCATCCCCAACCCCCACCTGGCGCTCGCCCATCCGCGCGAAAGTTGCGCCCCACGCGTTCCAGGCACTGCGCCACCTCAGGGATGGCCGGGCGAAAGGCCTCGGGCGCCAGCTCTGCGAAGCGCAGCAGGGTCTGTCGCAGGAAGCCCATCTGCTCCGGTTTCCTTGGGAGCCGTTGCTCGGTCTGGTTGGAAAGCCACTGAAAATAGAGGAAGTAAAAAAAATATATGGCAAACCAGAGGTGTTGGAATTGTTGTGAAACTGAAGCCACTTGGAATTGGAGGGCGTTTTGATGCGTTTTGAAGATCTTTTTACCTGTGGTTTGAATCGAGCAAGCTGGGTGTAAACGGATGATTCTGATTTGGATGAAATCCAGAAATTCAGCCAACGTGTGGGCCACTTTGTGAATATGGCGATGGTTCAAAAAAAGGTGTTCGTTTCTAGTCTTACGTTCTTACATGAGCCATCCAATCTAAGTGTGGAATCTTGAGAAACACAACCGTCAAGTGACAAACACGTGCGAGTTTCAAAACAAATATGTAGACAGATCATGCCAAACCTATGACATCTATGACTGTGTTTGAAGATGGATCTACAAAATTGCCATGTTATGAGGAATCTGATAACCAACCAGTGGATTTTATATCCCCCTGAAATCAAGTTTCCCATCTATTAGTGATTGAATCCAGGGCTGATCACCATATTTTCCACATCTACTAGCAGAAATATTGCCACCTCAGATTGCCTATTCTTGCCATATCTGGATGTGTCTGTCCATTAGTTAATCATCATTTCCCCTACTAAAACGGCCATATATTGGGGGCTCAATCCCCAGTTTCAAGTACCAAAACCCTAAAGAAATGTGGTGTAAATCCCCTGATTTTTGGGTCCAAACATGTCGATGCCGAACGGCGCAGCGTTGGCCACGTCCTCTTCACTCGGAATCCGCTCTTCCAAGAGAACGCCAGGTGGAAAGGCTCCACCGTCCTCGGCTCCCGGCCAACCGACGATTTCAGGCATGGGGATCTTCACCAAAAAATGGGTTGATACCATCTGACCATCTGTGTGTGTCTGTAGATTTTTGTATATCTCTATATGTAGATAATGTGTGTTTTTCAATGGCTGAAAATTGGTAGTTAACCCTCTAGCCTTTTAGGATTTAATCCACTATTGTTGGGATGCTCACCGACAACATTTGAGATCTGGACAGCAAAAATGAGGGCATGGCAATGGGAAATCCCCAGTTTCACTGGGAAAGGACTGTGTGGGGTTATTCAGCTGGTTGGGTCCCCAGCATCACTGGCTTGCCTTGTTGTTTTGATGCCATCTGTTGGAGAAGGAGAGTGTATATAATTACTTTCAATCAATGTCAAGGAGGTTTCTACACCGAGCAACTGGTTCACCTGAGGGTTATGTATACATAGTCATCCTGGAGTGATAGAATATGGAAATTTCAAACAAAAATGATGTGTGAAAAGTTCATATTCTATCTACTTCATGATCATGATGATGATGATGATGATGATGATGATGACGATGACGATTGCGATTGCGATTGCGATTACTGTATATTATAGCAGTTACAGTACTTGTGTTGGAAATCACCCTCAAACGAGCGAAACCCCTTCCTGGAGATCAGATTTCGAGGAAAATGGCTGAGAAATGTCGACACCTGTGAACCCAGCAGACCGGAGGCTTTCTTCTTCAGGGTCAACTCAACTCCCAAAAGGCTGTATCCGAACATTTATATAAGATTAGAGACCCCACTGAACTCACTAGATTCCGTCAAAAGGGGCCACGTTCCTATTTTTTGAGATGGAACATCATCCCGATTTGGTTCTTACCCCAGCCCAGCTACTGTGAAGGCCACCGCCGCCAGGCGTTCCCGAGAAGATGCTTCCACCTTCAACAAGTTCACCAGGTTAGGCGCGCCGTAGGAGTGCGCCACCACCAAGATCTTCGAGGCTTTCCTGTTGGTTTTTGGGATCAAACCCTGGTGCCATGTCCAATATATGAAGATCCACTGATGGGATGAGTGGCAAGTGGAATATGATATTCTACATATATATATATATACATCGTTGTGTAGATATCATTGTGTGCGTGTCACGATATGATTGTCGGTATATCTAAAATATAATATATATATTATAATGACAAAATTAAGTAAATGTACATATTTACTCATACATGTCATAAATATATAGATATATATATATATACATATATATATATATATACATTATATACATACCCCATCATCATCATCATCATCATCATCATCATCATCATCATCATCATAATCATAATCATAATCATCAGATTATTATATGTGTATGCATATATATATATACATACATACATATATATTATACATATATTTACTTATTACAGTCAGTATATCATCACATAATTCACTAACCCCAAAATAGCCGAAAGACGGCCCCTTTAAAAAAAGCATCATTTGACTGACGTCACAGTGAGGTCACTGGGGATCAAGGGGATCAGCCACGAATCCCAGATGTAATGATCGTGATTGTGGGTATCAACTGCATAACTCATGACAACTGAAGATGCATCATAAAAAATCATAAAAATATCTCTGCAACTCTTCAAGCCCAGCTGCGCAGTGTTGAGGTATGATGTCCACAAAGTCCTCAAATGTCGATGAGGACTTTCAGATCCCGTGATGCTCTTGCCACAGATGTCGTTGACGTTGGGGTTGGCCACGACGACCTGAAAGCAAGGTGGCAAGGTGGACGTGATAACATCTGAAACAACCATGAACAACCCCCCTTTGGATAGGCTGAAAGTCGAAAGCAAGAGGAACTTTGCCTAGAAGCCATAGTTCTTACATGTTCTTACTGCATGAATCTGCATGAAACAATCTGCAAGGTTCCAGGTTTGGGAAGCTTCGGAGCATCACTCATGGAGTCCACAAACATCCTCCACTAATCGAAGGAGATCAGAAGAATTCACGGTACACAAACTGGCACTCAAATCTAGCAATGGACAATTCTCCAATTGATGATTTGAAATCTGCTGTGGATTGCCAGTATCAGCCATCCCTCAGAAAATGCTGCACGGATTGAGGTGCTATGGCTGAAGGAGATGCCCACCCTGGTGAACATCAAGAGCTGGGAAAAGCCACTGCTTTTGGCCAATCCCCATGTCGAGCTCAGGGTCATTTGGCATTGGCACAAACATTTTTCGGTCATCATTCCATTATTTTTGTTGCTTCACAATCACTGATTCTTGTTGATAAAACACCTCCATTTCTGACGATAAATCCCTCATGATTCTTAACACATCATTAAAAAAAAACCTGATGAAAATCTCACATTTTCTTTCACACCTCCCCTGATTTTCTGAAAAAAATCGAATCCCGATCAAAAGCAAGGCGCGGCCCAACCCAGGGTCTGCGCCCGGAAGATGTAGTCGAACATGGCACCCTCGTGTAGCGAGGCGTTGATGCACAAAGATCGGCCCCAAACGCCGGCGGCGCCGCCCGGCGCCGAACCGCAGATCAACAGCAGCAGGGGACCCAGATGCTCCTCTCCACTGGTCTTTTTGGGATTGGCTTACCCTCTGGTAATTTAACATAGCTATTGAAAATCACCATTTTTACTGGGAAAATCCACTATTAATGGTCATTTTCAATAGCTACGTTAAATTACCAGAGGGTAAGGGGAAATGACCTTTTTCCATCTTTTTCCACTAGGCGGTGGTCTTAGTTCGGAATCACTCAGTTGCTTTAGTGCTGTTGGGTGGGGGCACCCCCCTGGAAGGATGCAATCTAAGCCAGCTGCAACTGGGCAATAACCATCTAAGAAGCCAGTTAAAAATGTTATACTGGATGAAATATCCCCGGCTCTATTTAAAAATTATTGGTGATATATATATATATATATATATATACATATACATACATTACATCACATCACATCACATTGCATTACATTACATTACATTACATTACATTACACTACATTACATTACATACAGAATCATACATACAGACAGACAGACATATACGTACATACATACATATATATATACACATATGAGTACATAAGAACATATGTATATATGTGCAACGGCCAAGTTACATGTAATGAATGGGCTACGGTCATCCCAGCATCGTGAACGGGATTCCTGTGAATGGGTATACTGACCCCTGTCCTTACCATGGCACATGTCGTGATAGCTCGGAGGTTGAAGGCCGCAACAAGTCGCGGCCAAGTATCGCAAAGTTGGGCTGTGAATACTGTGAATCAGATCCCTGAGCAAAATTGTCTTGTGGCTGACTGGATGAATGTGGAATACCCTCTGGTAATCAATCGTGACAAGGGAAAATAATCAAACTACCATCTGGTTATTTAACATAGCCATGGAAAATCAACATTTATAGATGGTTTACCCATTAAAAATGGTGATTTTCCATGGCTATGTTAAATAACCAGAGGGTAAATGGTGGCTGTTGAATTGCCACCTTTGTGGCTGCCGGATCCTGGAAGTTGCTTGTGGCATAGACCACAGAATTGGCATCCGCCGCTGTGGTGGGCAAAGGATAAGGCAACCTGAAAGGAATGGCAGCAGGGACATAGGATGGAGGTAAAAAAAATGGGATGTCCACAATGGATTGTGACAATCCATGACAATCCACAACATATTGGGCAGTACTATATCCCAATAATCAACCAACAGTGATTACAAAGTTGACCCTTGGATAGTTTGAAATCTTTAATCTAAGATGATTGAACTTGGCTGGTGGTTTTTGAATCCACAATTTCTGTATATTTCTTGTGCAGTCACTTATGGGCATGCAAAACAAGAGGGATTTGAGTCGTTTAACCAACAAAAATCAAGAAATTCACCAGCAACTCAAATTTGAGGGTTTTGTGGTTGAGCCAGCCTCCGAAAATACTCTCGAATCTCATAGACTGGATCATCCAGACTTTTCGAAAGAAAGGCATATTTAAATATTTATCAAAAAAGTTGAAACCAAACACCTGTTAGGCCTCATGGGCCTGGTGAATCATCCCCATTTCATCCCGAGGCAAAAGACTCTTAGATACCCTACAAAAGCTCTCATGTTTTAGCTGGGTTCACGATATTTCCCCGTTTCTGGTAGCTACTTCTGGGAATTGGACATAGCTATGGGGTTCCATCCATTCCATCACCATTTTTTTAGCAGCTAACAACCTATAGAAACAACGCCATCACCGAGCAACAGGTCGCAGAGGGTGGTCAGCTGCTGTTGAACGAAGGCCCTCAGTGCGGGGTGGCTGTCTCTTGTACAGATGGTTCACCATCAACAACGGAGGTTTTAACATGGTCGAAACAATCAGAATAATATATACAAAAATGAGAATTCACTTGCTTTGTTCAAGGGAAGATCTACACTACACACGACACTATGGTTTTGCCGAATAGATGTGCGCGTTTCCTGTAGTATTCCTGTATTTTTCCCGCTGCAACGCTGCTGGGACCCGCACACCACCCCATCAGCCACTTCGTTGTAGTTGCTTTGGTCCTGCCCGCCGGACCGAAAATGGGATGCAGAATCACTGTAACCAACCATGAACAAATGAATCAGCACATTAACTTTCTGTATTTGTATTTGCATGTGCATGTGTATGTGTATGTGTGCGTATGTAGTAGTCTATACTCTATACATATATAAAACATCTATAAAACCAATGAATTGCATTTTATGGCACCCCCAACAAAGAGATCTCATTGCCACAGGTGCTTAAGTGATTCCACTCATAAGATGGAAACCCAATTAAAATCAGGGGAGAGACCGGTCCTTGAAAACGAAGCCCTTTGTCGGGTCACCGATCCTTCGACAAGACGTGTGGTTTTTCGGCACAAGCCGCCAACAACAACCACCTATGAACAAAGGCCAACCACATTGTGGTTTTCAGTGTGTGTACATGTACATACATATATGCAGAGTTGAATATGTACATATACATGTATATAATTATATATATACAGTATATAATTATATACTGTATATGGTGTATGTGTGTGTATATAGAGAGAGAGAGAGGGGAAACGGTCGGAAATGGTCGGAAACATGATCAGGCCAAAACTTGTCCAACCCGCATTTAAAAAAAAAAAAAAAACGCGCAACGCAGTTTTTTTTGAAGGTCCAAAGGTGTCCAAGGGGAAACGGTTGGAAACAGTCGGAGATCGCACCTTCGCTCGGCAAAAAAGTAGTTGTTTTGTAGCATATGTTCATGAACCATGTTTGTGCAAACCATGACGCTTAAGTTTTTTCGAGCGACCCTTGTGCGCGTACACTGCACCAAATATTGCATCTTGACCTTGATATCCAATATTCCCTAAAAATCACAAAATCCCAGGAGCTCGTGAAATTTAATACCCTTAGTTTAGTTATTCCTGATCTTTGATATGTGTCATATAATATAATATAATATAATATAATAATATATAATATAATATAATATTAATATAATATTAATATAATATTAATATAATATTAATATAATATAGTATAATATAATATAATATAATATAATACAATATAATATAATATATATATATACTGGTGATACCAAGGCTCTGCCGCAGCACCAAATCGCTTTTCAGGCCGCTGGGGCCGGGCCTGCACCAAGAGAACTATGAAACCCTGGAAATCATGGGATGATAAGGGGATAGCAGTTTACAGGGTTGACTATCCCTGGATAATATTGGTAGCTATACTAATTAGTGGTAGCTATGAATAATGATTATTGGATAATAAAGGGATAGTAGCTATGACACTAGTGAAACGGTACTTCAAAGTAGTGGTTGCTGAAACTACCATTAATGCCATTAAGAATCACTATCACGCATCATTGTGAAAAACTGTGGGCACATGATGTCATCCAGCCCAAAATCTGAATCTTCCCACCTTCTGGGCCACCCATTAGATATCACCCACCAGGCTGATGGAGCTCGGAATCCGACAACGGGATCAACGGTAAACCCGATGAAAACCCACTTCGGTATCGCTCCCTTGCCTGAACTCATAGCCCAACTTTGCAAGCTGTCGCGCGGCATACATTGCTACATACACTTCGGGGGTCTTGTGAAGGGATCTGTGCAGAAAATACAACAATATCGACTGCAAATATCAAATGATATAAATGCAAAATGTAAATTTTGCCTAAAATAGAACTCGAAGTGTATTGCCAAAGCTGTAACGAGAATTAGCACTATAAGTGACTATCAAGATCATATGAGAAGAACGAAAGTTAGCACTTGGAATGACACCCTTCAGCTTCCTGATCTGCGACTCTTTTGCTCATAATCTTCGCTGTGGTGTCCTGGATCACTTGCCGGTGAAAACATGAAAAACCAATGGAGTTTGGGATGTTCAATGGCCACTTGTAGTTATATGCAGCAGGTTCTTCAATCCAGACTTGAACCCTGAAAACACTTGGAGGTCCAGCTAAGAGCCAAAACGCCGCACCGGTGCCCGCGCCACTAAAACTGGACGGAAAATGAGCCTGAAAATCACCAGCCCCTGTAGAAGTGGTTGATGAAATTGGGGTGTGGTTCGATTTATGGATTGACTTATCATAGCCCCTGACTTTGGTTGATACTTGGGGTGACAGGACAGTCAGGGCATTCTGGATCCCACCGAAAGGCAGGCAGTCCGACCCCCGGCTCGTTCGAATAGAACGGTGTGTTGGGTGATAGTCACCCGCGCTAGTTCCCAGGAAATGTATCCATCAACATGTCCAAAGGTCCTGGGAACTGCTGAATTGGGCCACTGTTTTGAGGGATCCACACAACTTTGGCATACTTCAGGATATCTTGCCCATGGTGGTTGAAATCTAGTAGAACCCTTCATTTCCATTGCTTGCGGTGCCTTTATTTATGCCCAGTTTTCTTCTAAATACCACCCCAATAAATTAACATGGATAAATCACTACTGGATGCCCAACTGTTCAGTTCCATAGAAAATTTAGGAGGTAGAACCCATTTCCTGATCAGCCTATGAACCATGTCCTCAGCCATGTTCAATATGTTCCACCCATTTTTTGGTGGCCATCACCATCCATCACCGCAACCGCGGCACCTGTTGCCTCTCGTTCTCCTTGTCACCGTCCTCCGGTAGCTCCAGAGTGTCCCTGCGGTGAGCTGTGACGATGTCGTTGTTGAAATCATGGTTTTTAACCCACCATGATTGGTTCGTGGTTGACCTACCCCTCTGAAAAATATGAAAGTCAGTTGGGATGAATATTCCCAATATATGGAAAAATAAAAATGTTCCAAACCACCGACCAGATGAATGTATGTACAACATTGTTCTAAAGGAAAACAATTCATGTTCCAACAACCCATTGGGATTTCCCTGAAAATGTCACAAAAAAAAGCTGGTTTATGATTCTTGGTTTATCTTGTCATCCACCCCAGCTGAGTTGATACCCCGGTTCATCTTCGTTGACTCAACCCCGGTTCGGTGCTTTAGAGCGTGGTCCGGCGTCACAGTCTTGAACATGAGGTTGAACCTCGGCTTGAGACAACGCGTGATGGATGGGAAGATTGGCCCCAAAACATGTATTGTACCACTAAAGCTTGGAATTGACCCATCAAAAAAAAAGATATCACCATCAAAAAGTAGAATTTTCCCATCCATAACGTGGATTTCACCAGCAAGAAATGGAAGTTGACTGTCAAAAATGTTCACAATCAGAAAATTGTGATTTGATAGACCATCAAAAATTGCAATGTAACCGCCAAAAACGATGATTTCAGCACCGAAATTGCCTGCAATTGGAAGTCACCGTTCTTCCGGCCAGCCCACTCAAAATTTATGGCTATGAGTCTATGAGTCCCTGGAACAACAATCCAGTTGCCTGGGAAATGGATCTTAATCTTTAAAAAAGTATGGTATAGTCGGTATAGTGTCGATTCTCGGGGAAATCCACCTCGTGCCCTGTTCCAAACCACATCACCTGTTTGGATCGCTTGAAATCTGGGAGGACAAGTATCCGGCTCGGCTTACCTCCTGTATCTGAAATGTCTTGGGATTTTTTGGGAACAAATCCAAAGTATATCTATATCTCAACATATCGCTTACCGCATACAAGGATAATATTTTTGTATCAGCTAATTCGGAAAATTTGGCCCCGGATTCTGTCCACAAATCCGGACTGTATGGACTATGCTATGGATCATACCATTCTCCCCTCCCACTCTTTGAACCGACCAGCGCCGCGGAGTCAACGACTGGAACGTGGGCCAGTGCACTCGTGCTAGACCGGGGGAGGGCGTTGAAATGCACCGGAATAATTTACAAAACTTATTGGGCAGCAACTGAAAATCGAATACTAAAAGAGTCAATCTGCAAAGATCCAAACGTTCTTGGAAGAACCAGCTCACTTTATCTTAAGTCTTCCAGTTAGGGTCATGTTGAAGTGCCCACCATCTCAGACACACCCAAAATGGCCCAAAATGAGACTGGGCATCGATTTCCAGTTGCACCCTGGGCGCCATCTCACTGGATCTGCCAATGCCAAGCAAAAAATAATTATGACCAAGTTGTAAGATGGTATGTATGAATATGTATATATATATATATGTGTATATATATATATATATCGGTTCTGACTGTAGCTTATTGACCACTGGAATCACTGGAATCTGCACGTCACTGGCGATCCGCTTTCATGGCTTTCATCTTTTCTGCTCGTTGTCGAATCGCCAGGTGATCCTGTCCGCGGACGTTCCCGTCTCGGTCTCTGCCAAGAGTAGCTATGCCCTCGTCTACCCCGAAAAAGATCGAAACGGAAAATCCTACTAAAATAGTGATGAATTTAATTTAATGAATTCTCTTTTTGGGCCATAACTATAACACAGTATAGGAATCCCCCTGAGTGGCATGTCCATGTTTGTCCAAACAGCAAGTTTGATTTTGCTGGGTAGTGATAGTACCAGTCAAACAAAACTGGAACTGTCCTGAAATGGGGATACACCAATAAATGTGTTATCATGGAAAATTTGATAAAAATGTATGAGTTGGGGATACCCTCATGACTTAGGAAACCTCCAAATCGAGCCCCCTATGAATCCCTGGTGAGCAGTTGTAGAATTGCAGATTAAAAAAAAGTCATTAGGCCTAAAAAATGCTGATTCATGTCCAAATCGAACTCATTTTTTGGTTATTAATAATGGCATCATTTCCGATAACTATCTGTCACTTTAAACAGCATATAATATCTATAAAGCTGGGAGAACCCTGGGTTTGCCATTATAGAATCATCAAAACGGTGTGTTGTTTTACCAAGTTCTCCAAATATACCCTTTCGGCCTAAGCAAGGGGGAGCGCACTGGGGAATAGTTGAAAATGGCTCTGCAACAAGAACAAGAAGAACAACAAAAACGACATACAAACCACTATCTGCCGTTTTAAGCAGTTATCACCGTTCGGTGCCGTTTTTTAAAATGGCCAGGTGATGGCACCTCGTGGCAACGTTGCTGGAGTGCGACCCTAAGGACACTGGGGTCGAGGCAGGGAGTCTCGGTTTTACTCCTAATTTCTGTACCAGGCTGGTCTTAAAAGATCCCATTTTTGACCCCGGCCCCCCGGGTTCGTCAATGTTTGAAGCATGAGGTCAACCCGGGATCAATTGGCTAATTCCCCTCCAGTACTCAAACGTGGCTGGAAAATGCCCCATTCTCCGTGGTTTTCCTATGACAAGCTTCATTTATGACGTGGATTTCCCAGCCAGCCATGTTTGATGAGCGAAGGATAGCTATGTTTCTGTATGGATTCAGCTGACATCCCAGCCAGATGACCATGCCATGGCACTATGGCGATCTCAAGATCGATAGACAATCATTCCGAAAGTCACGAATCATGGGGGGTAATACCGCCCGATGATCCATATAAAAAATATTTAAAAAAATATACAGATATATATTGTGTGTATATATATATATATTGTATATATATATATAATCTCAAAATTCGATGGATAATACCTCCCCAATTTCTGGCTTAGAGGTGTGTACCACAAAAATACATTTAAAAAAAAAAACACGTCTTGGTCACCCTGAAACAGTCACCTTGAAGCCTCGGTTCACAGGTCCTGAAGGTTGCTTTGGTTCACAAAGTTCCTGGCGAGTCCCGAACTGGGAAAACTGAGATTTTCATCCCAGTTACCCTCTGGGATAATAATGGATAAATGGATTATAATGGATTATAATGGATAATAATGGATAATAATGGTTGATAATGGAACAATAGCCAACAGTAATGGATGAATAGTGAATAGTTGTGTCACCCTCTGGTAATTTAGCAGTGCTATTGAAAATGGATGAAAATGGCCCGTTATAGATGATTTGCCTATGAAACATAGTGATTGTCCATAGCTATGTTAGATTACCACAAGCTAAGCTAATGACTGACCAATCATCTTAGTTTCTGGATAATAATCCAATTAACCGCGGTTCCAAGCCAGCTACAAAGATAGGTTGAAGGAGGGCACTTATCAAGCAGTTCTGTGAACCTCCTGCTGACTAGGATGAAAAACGCTGTATGTCCCACGTCCCATCTGGTTGGTGGTTGACCTACCCCTCTGAAAAATATGAAAGTCAATGGGATTATCCCATATATTATGGAAAATAAAAAATGTTCCAAACCACCAACCAGCCATGATCTTTGTTGATGTACCACGTCTGCTGCCCTCTATTCCCGTTTTCCGGGCGCACTAAGACCAACTTCAGTCGAAGCCAGCTTCAATCCAGTCCAAGCAGCTACAGAACCCATCTAATCCTCTTGGACAAACAAAAAACATGAGTTGCAGCCGGGAGAGTCTGAAAATGGTGTATCACAACCGTCAAATGGCAAGTTTTACCATTTTCCCAAAATGTTCAGATACCAACCCACCCAGCATATCTCCTCATCAGCGTGATGGAAGGTGTGAGGCTTTTTGCCCAATGCCACCAGCGCGCAGGCAGAACCACCGTTTCGCCCTCTTCCACCACTACACTGTAGGCCTCTCCAAAGGTCTGTAGATGGGGAGTGGGGCACGTGAACAGCAAAAATCGTTGAGCGAAAATTCGGATCTCCTCGGAACAAAAATCAAAATTAAGCATATTCAATCCCATGAAGCAATCCAAAATGTTTCAACATTTTCGACCTTTGTGGACATCCATCACATCCACCACACCCATCACCCTTGCGGCCTGAGCCTTCCGAGCATTGGGGAAGCGACCGAAGTCGGGGTGTTCTGGATCGAAGAGGGAGGTACGGCCATCAACTTCGTCGACCGGCAGACTGTGGAGCTTCCTGTTGCAACGCAGATGGGGTACCTTCCAGTGAACATACAAAAAATACACTATGTGTAGATCATGTCCGAACGGGAAACCCAAAGTTTTCCGAGGCCAAGGGTTGCCGTGCGAATTTATATCATTCAGAGAAGAGTTTTCAAAAGAGAGTGCGCTGGAAACAATTTTATGCATTTGTCTGAAAATTGAGTATACCCGCAAATGAATGCCAAAATGACCATTTATACAATAGGGAACATGATTATCATGATGATAAAGCACGGGAGTTTGGAGCACCCTATTGACAAAAACCCAAAGCATCTCCCCTAAGTTGCACCCAGCATCTCAGTATCCTCTGGTGGATAGCAGATGAACTGCTTCCTACCACGAATCTGAGAGAGCCAGACATGCGTCGCATAGGTGTCATGGTGTAGCCGTGATACCGTACCTTGGGCCACTCCAGTTGTTTATGGCCAACAGAGCAGGTTCGTTCTAAACACGCTGGCCTTCATTCCATCAAATACTGGTTGGGGAAGAACCGGATTCTCATAATATCATATTTGGTGAAATGAAGTATAGTAACCTTCACTATAATATAATATAATCCATTGTCAAAGGAAGTTTAGGGGGAGAAACTTCCGTGTTACGGACTTTTAGAATGTCAGGGAAAGAGTTAGTCAAAGAAAGAGTTAGTCAGGGAAAGAGTTAGTCAAAGAAAGAGTTAGTGAGGGAAAGAGTTAGTCAAAGAAAGAGTTAGTCAAAGAAAGAGTTAGTCAAAGAAACAGTTAGTCAGGGAAAGAGTTAGTCAAAGAAAGACTTAGCAAAGAAACAGTTAGTCAGGGAAAGAGTTAGTCAAAGAAAGAGCTAGTCAGGGAAAGAGTTAGTCAAAGAAAGAGTTAGTCAAAGAAAGAGTTAGTCAGGGAAAGAGTTAGTCAAAGAAAGAGATAGTGAGGGAAAGAGTTAGTCAAAGAAAGAGTTAGCAAAGAAACAGTTAGTCAGGGAAAGAGTTAGTCAAAGAAAGAGTTAGCAGGGAAAGAGTTAGTCAGGGAAAGAGTTAGTCAGGGAAAGAGTAGTCAAAGAAAGATTAGTCAAAGAAAGCAAGTCAGTTAGAAAGAAAAGAGTTAGTCAAAGAAAACAGTTAGTCAGGGAAAGAGTTAGTCAAAGAAAGAGTTAGTGAGGGAAAGAGTTAGTCAAAGAAAGAGTTAGTCAGGAAAAAGAGTTAGTCAAGGGAAAGAGTTAGTCAAAGAAAGAGTTAGTCAGGATATATGAGGTAGTCAAAGAAAGAGTTAGCAAAGAAACAAGTTAGTCAAAGAAAAAGTTAGTGAGGGAAAGAGTTCGTCACAGAAAGAGTTAGCAAAGAAATTGTTCCCTCACTGTAAATGGGATTGCAAGTGGTGCTGGTGGAGGAGTTGCCGATGGAGTTTTGGAGGAAGTCTCGCACGAAATGCGTTTTTGAGAGATAGCAGATGCACGAAAGCCTATGTTTTCCATACAATGTGCGTCCCCGAACGTCGCTGATCTACCTCTGCTGTGCGACGGGTGCGAGACGGTCTCGTGCGTGGTCGGATCATCCTCGGATCATCCTCGGATCATGCTCGGATCGGTTCCGCATTGTAAATGGGGTGTCAACTGTTTTTCGTGCATGTGTGGGCGACAGAATTCCATTGTGATTTGCAACTGTAGGATCGTTCCCGCAATGTAAATGGGATTGCAAGTGGTGCTGGTGGATGAGTTGCCGATGAAATTCCATTGTGATTTGCAACTCTAGGATCGTTCCCTCACTGTAAATGGCATTGCAAGTGGTGCTGGTGGAGGAGTTGCCGATGGAGTTTTGGAGGAAGTCTCGCACGAAATGCGTTTTTGAGAGATAGCAAATGCACGAAAGCCTATGTTTTTTCGATACAAAGTGCGTCCACGAACGTCGATGATCTACCTCTGCGGTGCGACGGGTGCGAGACGGTCTCGTGTGTGGTCGGATCATGTTCGGATATTCTCGGATCGGTCTCGGATCGGTTCCGCATTGTAAATGGGGTTTCAACTGTTTTTCGTGCATGTGTGGTCGACAGAATTCCATTGTGATTTGCAACTGTAGGATCGTTCCCCCATTGTAAATGGGGTTGCAAGTGGTGCTGGTGGATGAGTTGCCGATGGAATTCCATTGTGATTTGCAACTCTAGGATCGTTCCCTCACTGTAAATGGGATTGCAAGTGGTGCTGGTGAATGAGTTGCCGATGGAGTTTTGAAGGAAGTCTCGCACGAAATGCGTTTTTGAGAGATAGCAGATGCACGAAAGCTTATGTTTTTCCATACAAAGTCCGTCCCCGAACGTCGATGATCTACCTCTGCTGTGCGACGGGTGCGAGACGGTCTCGTGTGTGGTCGGATCATGTTCGGATCATGGGCGGATATTCTCGGATCGGTTCCGCATTGTAAATGGGGTGTCAACTGTTTTTCGTGCATGTGTGGTCGACAGAATTCCATTGTGATTTGCAACTGTAGGATTGTTCCCGCATTGCAAATGGGGTTGCAAGTGGTGCTGGTGGATGAGTTGCTGATGGAATTCCATTGTGATTTGCAACTCTAGGATCGTTCCCTCACTGTAAATGGGATTGCAAGTGGTGCTGGTGGAGGAGTTGCCGATGGAATTCCATTGTGCTTTGCAACTGTAGGATCGTTCCCGCAATGTAAATGGCTGCGTCAAGGTTGCTTCGTGCTGTGGCTGCATTGGTAATACTATTGTCTTTTGCAGCTGGACTTCGTAAATCGTATTGGAGTGGCTGCATGAAGGCTGCGACAGTGATTTGTCAGCAGATTTTCTCCATTTTGGCGCTAGTGATTTTCCTTCTAAAAATCCTTTAAAAAAGTGCTTCAAAATCGTCTTTTTTTCGCTCTGGCGTCGAGATCCGGTTTTGGAGCTACAATTTCCGACGCCGTTGCGCGTAGTTCTATTGTGTTTTGGAACTCAATCTCTGCAGATCGCATTGTAATGGCTGCGTCAAGGTTGCTTCGTGCTGTGGCTGCATTGGTAATACTATTGTCTTTTGCAGCTGGATCTCGTAAATCGTACTGGAGTGGCTGCATGAAGGCTGCGACATGGATTTGTTAGCAGATTTTCTCCATTTTGGCGCTAGTGATTTTCCTTCTAAAAAATCCTTTTAAAAAGTGCTTCAAAATCGTCTTTTTTTCGCTCTGGCGTCGAGATCCGGTTTTGGAGCTACAATTTCCGACGCCGTTGCGCGTAGTTCTATTGTGTTTTGCAACTCGGTCTCTGCAGATCGCATTGTAATGGCTGCGTCAAGGTTGCTTCGTGCTGTGGCTGCATTCGTAATACTATTGTCTTTTGCAGCTGGATCTCGGAAATCGTCTTGGAGTGGCTGCATGAAGGCTGCGAAATGCGTTTGTTATTAGATTTTCTCCATTTTGGCATTGGCACTAGTGTTTTTTTGTTGGACGTACGTTTAGAGCAGTGTGAAGTGTGGGGCGTGAAGAGTGCAGTGTGAAGTGTGAAGTGTGAAGGAAGCAGTGAGAAGTGAGAAGTGAGAAGTGTGAAATGTGGAGTGTGAAGTTTCAGTTTGGAGTGCGAAGAGCGCAGTGTGAAGTGTGAAGTGTGAGGTTTGGAGTGTGAAGGAAGCAGTGAGAAGTGTGAAGTGTGGACTGTGAAGTGTGAAGTGTGAGTGAAGTGTGGAGTGTGAAGTGCGAAGTGAGAAGTGTGAAGTGTGAAGTTTGGAGTGAAGTTTGGAGTGGGAAGGAAGCAGTGAGAAGTGAGAAGTGTGAAGTGTGGACTGTGAAGTGTGGAGTGTGAAGTGCGAAGTGAGAAGTGTGAAGTTTGGAGTGTGAAGGAAGCAGTGAGAAGTGAGAAGTGTGAAGTGAGAAGTGTGAAGTATGGACTGTGAAGTGTGGAGTGCGAAGAGCGCAGCGTGAAGTGTGAAGTGTGAAGTGTGAGGTTTGGAATGTGAAGGAAGCAGTGAGAAGTGTGAAGTGTGGACTGTGAAGTGTGAAGCGTGAGTGAAGTGTGGAGTGTGAAGTGCGAAGTGAGGAGTGTGAAGTGTGAAGTTTGGAGTGTGAAGTTTGGAGTGGGAAGGAAGCAGTGAGAAGTGAGAAGTGTGAAGTGTGGACTGTGAAGTGTGGAGTGTGAAGTGCGAAGTGAGAAGTGTGAAGGAAGCAGTGAGAAGTGAGAAGTATGAAGTGAGAAGTGTGAAGTGTGGACTGTGAAGTGTGGAGTGTGAAGTGCGAAGTGTGAAATGTGAAGTGTGAAGTTTGGAGTGTGAAGGAAGCAGTGAGAAGTGAGAAGTGTGAAATGTGGAGTGTGAAGTGTGAAGCGTGAAGTGCGAAGTGAGAAGTGTGGACTGTGAAGTGTGAAGTGTGAAGTGTGGACTGTGAAGTGTGAAGTGTGAAGTGTGGACTGTGAAGTGTGAAGTGTGCAGTGTGAAGTGTGAAGTGTGAGGTTTGGAGTGTGAAGGAAGCAGTGAGAAGTGAGAAGTGTGGAGTGTGAAGTTTGAAGTTTGAAGTGCGAAGAGTGCAGTGTGCAGTGTGAGGTGTGGAGTGTCGAGGGAAGGACACGGTCGGGACAGGTTGTCTTTGAACTATAGGTCATTTATGTTTGGGAAACTTCCGCCGCCGGCTTGCCCGGGTCTATGTTATGATAACCCTCACTATATTGGAAGTACAACCTCCCGCAATCAACCAATTGGGGGTTAGCAGGCCATGGGCTGCAACTGCAATTCTCATCCACTTGGGTTTCTCAGTTTCTCAAACCATGGGCTGCTCCCAATGTCAACTGCAACTTGTATATATCTTATATAAAACTTAAAACCATGTTTTCTTAATGGTTTTCCCAAACAATTCCACCATCATCTCCAACCTCCTCCTTTCGAAAAACGCCCAAGCACCGGCCGGTCCCATGAAGATCTTCGTCAGCGCCGCGTCGAAGACCCGCGCCCCGTCGCCGGCGCCGTTCTTCGGCACGGCGTCGCGGACGCAGTAGAGCCGGTCGCGGACGTCCTCCAGGAGCTCCGGGCGTTCCAGGAAGGGCGCCCAGCCATTGGCGTAGAAGATGCGATCCTGGAAACACGAAGTGGAGGCCATAGGGGGGGCCATGGTGGAGATCATGTTAACCAGTATCAGTATATATAATTATAATATATATATATATATAACTAGTTGGAACTAGATGGCAAGATGGTGTTTCAGGTCGCTGGCCAAGTTGGTTCAGTTGTAAAGGAGGTTCCCTGTTCGTTCGATGAACGCTGGATTTACCAATTTATGATTCCGGTAAGTGAAAATACGTTGTTGCTTAGATGGACCATGGAGTTAACATAGTTAACATAGGTTTAACATAGTTAACCAGTTAGGAAGTGTGCTATAATCCACAGAACGCGAGTCATTTTTGAGAAGAGTTTGCAGTGAACCAACTCCATGGCCCTTAGTAAATGAAGCTTGGTAGTATCATCTTCTGACATTGTGATCATTGTAGGTCTTATTTGATGCAATTTCTATACAATGAGTCATCATTTTTGTGTTGTTAGTACTGTCATTGGATGTGTTGGTCATTCTTCTCATTACTGTATGATGTTGGGCCCTGAAATGGGCCCTGAAATGGGTCTGATGGATATCCATGTGACCATCCAAGTGGCTCAAGGGCTACAACAAAAGGGGACCTAATCAGTGAATCAGCCCGGAGGACGAGTAAAATACCCACATCACAAGGTGATGAAAGCTGAAAGCACTAGAGACCACTGATAAGTCAATAAATCCATGTTTTGACCTTGATACATGGGGATGTATGAAGCAAATCATGATATGATCCAGTGCGCACAATCAGGGGTATTAAGTTCCCAAACTGACTCTATCCCAGATGAAAGTAAGATCAAAGAAGGATTAGAAGCCAGTTACTTGGTTGGGTGACTTCTCTATACTTCTCTTGTAATCACAACAGATTGATTCGATCAATAAGAAACCAACAAGAATGGGACTGGACCCTCAAAACCAGAAAACATGTTTTTGGCATGATGAATGTGTCAATTTCAAAGAGAGAAAAAACACTGGAAAAACTGATCTGTGCAAGGGTCACGCCCCTTTAGGAAAAAAAAAACTTGTCGCACCGCCAAGAACATGAGGTTGCTCAAAACCTGGGTACTGTAGCTCAATATCATCATTTTGTCCCCTAAGAATTGCCATGTTGAGTATTTGGGGGTGCAGTTGGGGTTTTCTTTAACGGCAAAAATGGTGTATAGCTTACGGTATAACCATGGTGATAGCTCTAAGTCAGGATATAACCTCTACCAGTATGATTATCTAACCCCTACAAGTATAATATAACCCCTGCAAATATGGTCACATAACACCTACAAGTATGGTGAAATATCACAACTATAGTAGTGGAACTGCACCAGTCTTATCTTATCCACCACTTTTTTGTTCGATTCATGCTGGGGATGTCGCATTGCACCCGCTCCTCCAGTTGACGTGCATGAAAAACGCTCGCCTCACCTGCGGCGCAAAACCCAGGAGGTACTCCCCAAATGGTTATGGGTCAAAACCCTACTACTTTAGGTACCCTGGATGGTTATTCCCCTAAATATAATGATAGTAGGTGTTGACCCATCCCCAAATAGTGAATTCATCTGATCCTGAAAAATGGCACCCCACCCTGCACCCCAGTTACACAGCCGGTAGGGGTTTATGAATCCAGGGTTGATATTGCATATGCATAGACATATGTATGTATGTATGTATGTATGTATGTATGTATGTATGTATGTATGTATGTATGTTGTATGTATGTATGTATGTATGTATGTATGTATGTATGTATGTATGTATGTATGTATGTATGTATGTATGTATGTATGTATGTATGTATGTATGTATGTATGTATGTATGTATGTATGTATGTATGTATGTATGTATGTGTGTATGTGTGTATGTGTGTATGTGTGTATGTATGTATGTATGTATGTATGTATGTATGTATGTATGTATGTATGTATGTATGTATGTATATATATATATATATATATCTGTGTGTGTGTGTGTATTGTATGTGTGTAATTGATTATAATTGTATATATATATATATACATATGTATGGAAGGGATTCTTTCCAATCCATAGAGGCCATCTGGGAGTTCCAGGATGATCCTTCCCCTTTGTCATGACGAGAAGTCTCTGATATGGTTGAAGTCCAAAAATAAAAACCATGACGAGAAGTTTCCATAAGTAGTCCAGTAGAATGTAGTCAATGTAGTCCAGTTCAGTATGCACGTTGTGTATTCTATGACATCGCAGTCCAGCGTCTTGTCTTGCGCTGTGCTATGTGTCAAGTCATCATAACTCATAACATAGGTACGACTTTGTGATTGTGTTCTTCGTCATCGTACATGCTGCATGATCAAGGTGGTACAAAAGCACAAAACGTTGGCACAGATCCCCCAACATCTGGGTCTGCATCAGCCCAGGAGGTTTCACCAAAGTTTTGCAAAGTTTGCGATATGCTTGACCCATTCCCACATTAAACGTGGTTGGTTGACGTTTGGATCGCAAGCTCATTGGCTCAAAAATGGTCCTGTCAGCGGTAGTGCAGCCCCAACTCTTTAAATGAAATTCCTCTCATCTCCCATCTGGGTCAAAACATTCCAGAAATCATATCAAAACCATCTCAAAACCATCTCAAAACCATCCACCCCAAGCACCTTCCAAACCTCCAACTCCCAGCCTCGAACGTAGCGCACGAACTCCGCCAGCGGCGCCTGCACGGTGCGAATGTGTCCGCGGTCCACGTGACGGAAGAAGGGCGCCAAATCGCTGCAGGGCATTGTCTCGTGGCCATAGGTCGCTGCCATCCTGGGGATGGTAGGGATAGGGAACTGCTAAGGAGGGCTTGATTGATGTTAATTGTAGATGGGATGGTGTGAAGGGCATGTGGAACTACGAAATACATATACACAATGTGGTTGTATATACAGTAATCGTAACAGGTCATGGCAGTGGAGGGAGGAGTCGTGAAAATAAAATCCATGGGCTGTTGCCAAACGTCGCAACGGATGGCCATGCAAGACAGTTGACTGAGAAAACAAACTGGGAATAGCAGTGGCAAACACGGCACAGAATGTAACCAACCAAAATGAGAACACAACTGTAACCAATGTTCACACACGTTTTTTTTAGAGATCACTGATATCACAAACAACCAGTGCCAAAAAAGCTTGATTCGGGATGTATGTTGTATTGAACCCTGTCCGGCCGCGGTGCCACTGGGGTGGGGCCTCTGATCCATCAGCCGTTTTTTTCGTCAAGGTACCACTCGAAGGTCCATTTCTCGCGCGCAGGCCAGCCCTCTTGCGCATCAGTCAGCACCACTGGGGTGCTGTCGCGAAAGTGTTGGTCCATCTCCTCCACCGTCAAACCGTGGCATTTCCTCGGCGCCAAGGGGCCGGGTGCGATTGGACCCACTGGAGGTGGGGAAGTCCTGGGAAAGTCCCAAATGAAGGTCCGAAGATCGGGGTCTGGGAGGAATTCTGCAGGTAATACACATCCTTCATTGGCTCCTTACATCTGCAAACATCCCGAATTTTGGGGTAGCAAACCAGCATTCAACTGTTTTTGACGATACTGAAAACCCCAACAATCCACAAGTTCATGATCCATTTTGGAGCTTGGGAAGCATCCGACTTTGGGGGTCCACAAGTAATTTCAAGGCCGTAACTGCTTGTGTTTGATGAATACTGCTTATGTATAAATATATACTATACGTGTGTGTACATGAATGTGTATGTGTACATATAAATATATATATATATATGTAATGGAATGTAACGTAATATAATGCAATGCAATGCAATGGAATGGAATGGAATGGAATGGAATGTAATGTAATGTATGTATGTAGGTATGTAGGTATATGAGTGTAAGAATGTGTATATGTAACATACATACGTACATTCATATTTGTGCATGTATATCTATGTATATACGTCTCTCAATTAAATCCCCAACTGCCAGTGTTTCCTTCTCTTTCTCCGAGTTTCTTCACACCCTTGGCTCCTTCCACCATCACCTCCTCCAGCCTTTCTCGCAACGGCCACTTGGGCATCGCCCGCGCGGCCGGCAGCAGCAGCCAAAGGTGTGTGCCCTGCGCATGTTGCATGGCAGCGACCAACTCCTCCGCAGGCTCCTTTCGGAGAAAGAAGGTGTTTTGCCACAGGACCATACCTGATGCGATGAGATGTCGCTCTTTGAGCGACCCCTCTATGAAGAAACCTCTTTGAGATGGGATTTTAGATAAGCAACAAAAACTCTTGTGTGGATTTGATAGAGACTGACAATCGTGGGATCAAATCAGAGGTCAAATTTATTTGGTGCTGAAGTTGGATTATCCCCTCACGGGGCCAGTCAGTTGTGAACATAGATAGATAGATGGATGGATGGATGGATAGATAGATACATAGATAGCTACCTAGGTAGCTAGGTAGCTAGGTAGCTAGGTAGCTAGATAGCTAGATAGCTAGATAGCTAGACAGACAGATAGACAGATAGATTCAGATAGATATGGGGTGCAATACGTAAAATGTGATGATCCTGGCTAAGGGTTGACGGAGTAACTAAATGATCGAGGAAATCCGTTAGAAAAAGGTGACCATTCAAGGCTTTTGTTTTGCAGGTTTCATGAACAATTTCCTTGGAACCAAGTCTGCTACTTCAAGATTTCGAATCAGTTTTGGCAAAATAGTGGCATCGCGGTCAATGTTTGGTTTGTGGTTGGGCAACCATCCTGCTGCAACCAACCACTGCCAGTACCAACTCCTACAGGGGGGTGCATCACAGCTAGTAAGTGGATAATAAGTAACTATACAACTGGGGATATTCCAGGTCTATATGCGTATGTGATACCCCGCTTGGGGGCGTGGATGCGCAGCCAAGCATTGAGGTCAACCAACAAGAAAAGGCGCCTTTGATATCCGATAGATAGTGATTCGGTTGATTGTACAGCATTGTATGGATGAATTACCTCAATTTTGGGGTACTGCTGCGTGGGTCTCAAACTACGCGAATGTGTTTTGTATCATACCTATGGTGCTCATCCAACAGTTGGGTATCAATGATTAAGTTGACACACCTTGTCACACCCATGTCTGTGAGTCTTGCCACAACTTGCAGTTGTGGTGAGATCTTTTTGGGTGTGTCTTCGCCAGATGGCGTTGGGCCTATGCTGTTTTTGTTTTTTCATGTCCACAAAAGGTGAAGTTGCATCAGAGGAGGCGATTCCACTCTTGCTGGTTCAATTTTTATTTTCTTGGTTGGATGTTGATCGGCGCTTGAATCCCTCTCTCTTGCCGGATAGATTCCCTATCGAACCCCATCTTGGTTAGTTAGAACTTTTTGCTGTTCAACCCGCAATTTGCATCATTTTTCCAATTAAATCTGAGGAATCCACCATTTTTGCTGGCTTTTCTGTTGCTTTTCCCCCCTTCCTTCCCCGCCTCCAAAGCCTTTCTCCTCACAGACCGCCTTGGCCTTTGCGGGGCCCCCAGTGCTCACTGCGCCAGCGTCGTGGCCCGGCAGGGCATCGGTGTTGAAGACCATGACCCAGGAGCCATCCGGCGCCTGAAGTCATCATTGGGGGATAGAAATCCAACCATATTGCCCATGAAAAATAGGGAACCATCAAAAATATGGCTTGAACTATCAACAAAAATATGGATTGAACTATCAACAAAGAATAGTTGAATGGAGGTTAACTATTTAAAAAAATAGTTGAAATAGGAATTTGACAATCAAAGATGCTGATTCAACAGAGGTTAACCATCAAGAATTGGGATTTTAACGATCAATAATGGTTTTAATGGAGGTTAACATTCAAAAATTGGAATTCAATCAAGTCTAATGAGATTTAATAATATTGGGGGCGAAGTGATTTGTCGCTATTTATCCATCTTTCGATCGACCTGTGCTTCAATCTACCTAATCAAATCAAATCAAGTAAAGTAAAATCCGTTCTAATCTCACGAAGCATCTAGCAAACTAACTAACTAACGAACTCACTAACTAAATCTACGCATACATGTCCTATTCCATCCCGCCAGTGTTCAATCATCATCATCATCATCATCATCACCGGTGAATGTTTTAAGTTCCTTTCCTGCGTTAAGTGCTCTTATTGCTCCGGCCAATAGGGAATGTGTCATCAACATTGCGTTCATGTCTCCTATGCGTTTCATTCGAGTGATGCACACTTGAAAAGAGGAAAAAGACGAGTCCAAACGCCAAACTCATCTCAGGGGGCTAAGGATGACTCTTGTAAACATCCAAAAATCGTGCTGCCTTTGCTCGTAAGACGGCCTTCCAGGTACAAGTAAGTTGTTGCACAGGCCACTTGCCTAATTAACCTACATATGTGCCAATCCCTTCCCCATAGGGGCCATAGCTGAAGTAGTGGTCCCGGTCACTCCAATCAGGGCAACTGTGGTGTTTAAGCACCTCTACCATCTGCATATCTTCACCGAAACTCTGCAAGAACCGAATCTCACTGCGGGGGGATCCAGCAACTCTCAGACTTGCTAGAACTGGCGCCATTCCAATGATGAGGAGCAAACTGTCTGGCAGTCCCTTCGCCAAAAACATCCAGAAAACTCCATCAGTGCAACACAAGTCAGGTCTTGGACCGATTGGGATGCGCACAATGGTTATGTGCCAACGCCCCAATGTAGAAATTGGATACAACCCATCCATGGTCGATGTGTGCACTCCCTCCATCAATTCACCATCAATGGGAGGACTCCTGCAACCAAAGTCACAGCACCCTCTGCACGTTGCACTCGAGATGTACCTGGCAGCTGGCACAGCTTCATCTTGGCCCAAGTCATCCTTCCAAACAAAAATGCAATTTCTCATCAGAAAAAACGTGCCACGCGGGTGTTCCTGAAAATCGGCTACTCTCAAAGCCAAATGATTAGAGAAACCCCAGTTTTGGAAGCTGGGTATTTAACCATGGAACGTTTTCGGCGATATAACGAATGAAAATGAGCCTGTCGAGAAATGGGTTGTACCCCATTCTATGGCACGGCACCGGGCACTTGACAATGGATGAAACCGCTAAAGACTGCACATTTGACCAACGCATGGGGCAGCTTCAACCAACTAATCAAGATCAATCAGTGCAAAGCATAGAATCTTCCCAGCATCGCTGAAAAACCACACCTTGACATTGTCCTCGGTGCTCTTTCCACATCTTTCGTTGACAGCTGAAAGAGCAGAATCGCACTCTGCGGCAGCCGCTGCCTCAGCGGTAGTACTCAAATGTGCCTGGGAGATACCATTCCATTCCCACTACACTGGTTGATTAATTAACAATAGGTATCCCAAATCTGGGTGATGACAATCCCCCAAGAAACCAACAAGTTGTATAACCTACAGTATCTTTGATGGCTCACCGTTGCGTCGTCTAGGGCTTCGCCCATGATTTGCGTCTCTCGTTCTCTTTCTTTTTATGTACTGTATGTGTATATATAATATATATATATATATAATATATATATATGTAATATATATATATAATATATATATATATGTGTAATATATATATGTAATATATATATGTAATATATATATGTAATATATATATATGTAATATATATATATGTAATATATATATATATGTAATATATATATATGTAATATATATATGTGTAATATATATATATATGTAATATATATATATATATGTAATATATATGTGTGTGTGCGTGTCTGTGCATACTCTATACATATACATATGTATATATATATATACATTTGTACGTATATATGTGCAGGTTACAGAGTGAACCCCATTTTTAGAGGCTTTCCGGACCACAGTGGGCAAGCATAGAGGTTGAAAGCTCCAAGAACCTCCAGGGTCGCTGTTAACATCACCCTTTGGAGAATACCGAATTGGTTGAAACCCACCAGCCAGCTATATCGGTTTGCCTTGGTGATGTATGCATACACATGTCTATATCTATTTAGTTCTATGATGTTATACTTTATGTGTATATATAATATGATACCCTATGTCATATGTGTATAAAAACGCGCTGAAAATCAGTTGCAACTCCATCTTTGTTGAAATAACATTCTTGCCAGGTGTGTCCATCACATCTTCCCAAGTAGGCTTGGAACTGATGGCTGAAGTCCGCTATGTTCATGAGTTCAATTCCCGGTTTCAGTACTTCCATTTCTAGGCACCAAATCTCAACCAGCCAAACTTGAAATTGCATCAAAATCCACATGTTTCGTGGGCTTCAAGTCCCACTCTTGCTCCTTGAAATCCCATGTTTGCTTTCAAAAACATAGTGTTGACCATGGTTTTCCACTTAAACTTCCAATCTTCGGTTTTTGCAGAGTTCATGAAGCCTCGAGGTTTGAACTCCCACTTTGTCGCCCAAGGAGCACAGGAAGACGGCCCCCAGGCCACAGGCGGCGCAGGGCAGTTCCTTCATCTCGCCGCGGTTCCTGAAATCTGGGGATTTCAGGAAAAATCTGGAGGATTTGACCATCAAATATGGAGCTTCATGGAGGTTCATATGGAGGTTCATATCCTGGTTTAATGAAGCTTAACCATGAACAATGGGGATATTGAACCATGAAAAACTGGTGATTTCATGGTGGGATAACCCGATTTCATCCGATTCAATTGGGAGTTTTCATGTGGTCGTAACCAACCAAAAAAATGCTGATTCACTGGGCTGCCAGGATTTTTTCATGGATTTTCACCAGCATTTTTTTTTACTCACCAGTTCTGTTTGTGAACAAACATATCGTTTCACCCAGTTCACTGGTTGTTCTCTGGCCACCCCACACTTTGCTTGTGAAACTGGAACAAAGAGGTGAGATGACAAATTGACCCCCCTTCTGCCTCTGATGCACCTTGGTTGTGTAACCTATTATATACTTCGATAATGTTCGATATATCCAAGGTAAACCCAGTCGTGGCCATCACAAGGGTAAGTTCAGCACCAAAAATCTGGTAGTTTTCACGGATGACTGGGGATTTTCCTGGAGAATTGGAGGGTCACTCATTCTTAGGTCTTAGGTTGCACTTGTGTTCACACTTTTCTCACACTTCAAAGTGCATGTTTGTCAAGCATGTGATTTTCATGAAGAAGCGCACAAGGGGGCAACACAATTCTATGGGTGACCGAGACTTAGGTGGTTAATTTAATATCTTCAGCAAAAAAAGTTAATTAAGGGTGAATTCTAGGATTCGCCAAGTGAAAAAAACGTGAAGACTTTTAGGACTGAATCTACAAGTCCAGAAATGAGGACGTCAGCACCAAAAGCACTTCTTACACAGCCCTGATTTTGGGATGAACAAAAAGTCGAAGTGTTGCCAATTGCTGAAGAAAGCGTCTGAAACGGGATCTCTTTCATGCGGCCCACCGTCTTTTTTGGCCTTTTTGGCTACTGTAGCAACGCTTACGGCAACGCCTGATGGAAGCCTGGAAGCCTAAGGTTTTGGGAGGTAATTCTCAATGGAATGTGATGGTTGTGAGATGTTATGAGCATGTCATAGTTTTCAGATTGGTGGTGAAGAAGTCTTCAGCAATGAGACAGGATATCATGGGGGGACATGACAGCTTGGGGCTCTTGGAAACTTGCGCGATGTGGCTTCACACGTCATTTGCTCATGATTCACTATGGCTTTAATCATCTTTACTCTCCAACTTGACTTGCACGCTCCAAGCCAGAATCAGCTTGAGCGCCAGCATGCTGGGCTTGGTGCAGGAAGACCCTTGTGTTTTGCACATGTCAGTTGACTTGTTACCCTTGGCTACTCTCCATTTCTGGGAGGAATGGTTGGAAAAGAAATTGGGCCACAGTGTACCTGGAATGTATCTTAAGGAGCCCAGTTTCCAACTACAGATTCTGAATCAAAAAATGGCACCCCAAACAAAAAGAGAGGTTGAAGTCACCAATGTTCATGGTGTCCATAGATTCACCAAATAAATGGCTAAGAGTCAAAACCCTGGTACTCTTCCGTTCAGCTGAAAATAGCTTTGGATTTATGTGTTCATCCCACATATGCTATGTCATAGGTTTTGACACATCCCAAGAATGCTAACCCATCCGTTTAGTGATTCTCCAAGGGTTGCAACCAATTGATGACCCAAAACACAGAGGTTTCCAAAGTGGGTGTACCCCCAAATCATCCCAAAATTCCAAAAAGACCATGACTTACTATTGAAACAACCATGATGACTTGGGGATCCCCAATGACTTAAGAAAGCCCCAATGAGTATCAGTTATTATCATGTATAATCTAGCGTTAATCCACCTGTTGAATCCTATTTGGTTGTTGACCCAATTTGAGGCTCCAACTCTATGCGCGTGATCTTACCATCACGGTCTGAATCGATCCTCAGAGAAGCTTCACCAGCTTCGCAAGGACTAGCTGGAAGGTATGACCCTGACTTTCAGGAGAATTGCTGGTTTCATGAGGATTTGTTGAGATTTCATAGGGATTTATTTAGATTTAACGGGGATTTGTTGATAGTTCATGGGATTTAGTTAACTAAGCTGACGCATAACTACATGAACTGTTGGGTAAATTGGTGATGAAATGACTACAGTTAGTGGGCGAGTGAACTTATAACTGGGGGGGCACAACCTGGTGGTTGGTGGTTGAGCCACCCCTGAAAATCCCAAAGTCACTGGGGATATTATTATATAGTCGTTCCATTTCTGGTTGAAATTAAAGATATGAATGAAACCAGCCATGCATAGCTGGTGCAAGACCAGGTAAGACTCTTCTAAACTTATGACCCTGCCTTACGATCCTGACTTCTTATGGGTTTGTGCGTTACCTCAGAGAAAAAAAAAACGGGAACCCATAATAACTTCTTGATATATACTACAGTAAATTAACATACATGTGGACAATCCACCATTTATAGAGTTTCCTGGGAAACTATTTCCTGGGAAACTATTGGTTTTCCATGTCTATGTTGGTTAACCCCAGGGTACCTTGTCAATGATTTGTTTAAGATTATTATAAGAGTCGTGCTTCCAGATAGGTTTGCCTGGTTTGGGGCAAACCTTACAGGAAAGTCCGGAAATTGATGGTGTACTGTAGAAACCTTGGCATGATTCCCACAGGTCTTCAATCTCAGTGCAATCCGATAATTTCGTAACATCATCTGTGCAATGAATATCAATCAAATCTTAGCACGGCCATGTTGCAACAGAGCTGCTCATATTGACTATTGACCCAAAATGGGAATGGATCAAAAGCTATCAATTACAGTATACCATATTGAATATGGTGGGGTTCATATGCCAGGGTGATGAGGTTGGGACATAGTTGCCCTCCGGTCTGATCAAACATGGTTGTACAATGTTGTACAATAATACTTTTATTGGGGATTCTTATTTCCTATCATAGATCCATCGCTCGTTCACAGGGCGTTACCCCTTTATGAATCCACCGCTCTACCGACAAGAACAGTGTAACCCGATTGCTAGATGAGATTATCACCCTATCGACTGTTCTCACAACTGGACTACAGTCAATCTTAAAGAAGAATATGATAAATTCTTAGATGGTTACAAGTGGATTGATGATCCATCAAGAGGATTTGTTGTCCCACATAACATCCTTCAACACCCCCTTTTGTCATCAGCCCAAGCAGCAGTTTGAAGATCTGTTTCGCCTTTACCGCGTCGTAGTGAAGCCCAAGCCTGATCTTGGAATCTTCTCAACAACCTTTCATGGTGATAGAATAGATAAAATGAATGGCAATTATATAATATGTCTGTATGAATCAATAATTATGATGATTTAGAATGATTAAGAATTCAGATTTGAACAAACCCATCTGGGGATTTGCACTAGTTTCTTCGAGTTGAACATGTAATGAAACAACAGTTGGCGCACTGGAGCAACAAGAATCAGCAAAAATGGGATGGATAGAGTGATCCCGTCTTGTGGCCAATTCTCCATCTCACCCATCCCTGGTTTTTTGGGGGAACCGACCCAACTGACCCTAAGGCCCATCGCCTGGATGTTAGCAGTTGATTGAAATGCTCCGCGGTGACGAAGGGGTTCAAAGCATCAAAGCACATCTCGGGCGAAGCCTGCGCGGATGATGAACTTGGGGTCAGAGGTCAAAGTGGTTTCAAGTTAGAGGGAAACCCACAACAAATGAGCATCAAGAAGTTCAGAATTTTAAGGTGTGAGTTGAAAATCATGCCAAATTTTGGTCCGAGAAGGTCAAAAGACGCAAGACTCGCCTCGCCCACTCTTCGCACCAGTTGCTGCACCAACTGTTCCAGGACCTGACATGGTTTTGGGGATGGTTCCATCAACTTTTCAGTGAAGAAATCGAAACTGGGATCCCCTCATAGGAAACCCAAAGATGCGCTGGCAGAAAATCCCTTCGGAAATCGACATAAGATGGAGAATGGAAAAGCTACAACAGGAGATGATGCCAAAATGGCCATGGCAAATGTTGAATATTTAGCCAAAATTTTATCTTTGGCTGAGATTGCCATGGCGAATCTGAGATGTAACCAGCAAACATGTTCTCTTCCTGGCTGGGTATGTTGTATTCCCAAGCAATGCCAACCTTTGTCCAATCCCCCCCAAAACGCCTCACGGCCGACTCCTGGCAATAGCCCGTTCATTGGGATGGTCATATCATCAAGGATGTCTAAAACAAACCAGTTCAAAGAATCTTGAGTGGCAAACGCCCCATCCACAACCAAAATTTTGTTCTGAATTCAGAAAAATCATCATCCACTGTGCAATAAACCCAGGCATAAAGTATAAAACATGGTCTGTCATGCAATGTCAGCATGTTATGGTTCCTACCGCAACTTCCTGGCCGGAAAAAAATTCACTGTTCGTGTACTCCAAGATTCATACTCAAAAGGTTTGCAAAGAGACAGTTACTCCACTTCTGGATGATATTCCTACATGAATTCACGACTGTCACTGGTACTATTGCCATATCTTGGGAATGACCTTGAAGATGTGCATCCCTTAAAAAGGACAAGAAAAGGAATCAAATCCTCGGTCAAAGGATTTTGAAACTCAAAAAAGACCTGTGCAGATCTGGCCCGGCACCCTTTTGAAGGAGGCATGTGCTTCCATCTGCTTCTATAAATCCCAATCCTAAATGCCAAAGCAGGGGAAAAACATTGCGTTACTTTGAGTGATCCCCACCCTTACACACTATTCTTACATAGTTTCTGACAATCTGGAAGTATTTATGGCATATATATTCTGACATTCTATCTGACATTCTTTCTGGCATATACGCTGACATCCTATTTGACATTCTATCTGGCATCTATTCTGGCGTTCCTTCTGGCATTCTATCTGGCATCTATTCTGACATTCTATCTGCCATTCTCTCTGACATGGACACTGCGGTTGAGGTCCGGCAGTGCCCACTGACATCTGGCGCTAGAAGGGTTGAGGTCCGGCGGTGCCCACTGAGATCAGCTCGCGGTTGAGGTCCGGCAGTGCCCACTGAGATCTGGAGCTTGCACCATGGGGCCCGGAGAGCAATTGCTCTCGGTGCTGGTTTTCCCTTCCACCATTGGATGGATGCATCTATAACGCCCCAAGATATTGGCTCCAAGACGTCTGAGCATATAGCACAGTGTAAGGCCTCCATCGGAAGACCGAAGCATCTTGGGAGTCTCGAAGCGAGACTTTGTGTTTGACCCGAAGTCGGGGATGATTTTCCAAAGACCAAGAGGACTCTGGAATCGTTCTGAGCAAAGTATGTCTTTGACCACCTGCGGGGTGAATCGATGTTTTGCTTTCCTTCGAAGTGATGCCAAGCCAAATTGCGAGTTGGTGTTCATAGCTGGCTATCGCAAAAGACCCTTCCGTGGATCGGGCGAGGTTGCCACCCCTGTATGAGGGCCATCTCCACGTCTCACAAACAACGGGATTGGTGTCCAGGCAAAGAAGTTGTCGTTCTCGGACAAGCTTGTCGGTCTCCACTTGTAAAACTTTCTCGCTCGTGAGTATTCACGGTCCAAAACGTGTTTGCTGGCAGGCCCGATACAAAATTTGGGTTGCATGTTGGCGATGTGCATGAACCGGCTGTAGACCGAATTTAGGGACGATCGGAATCTTGCTGTCCCATGTGACACTGATGCCGAATGATTGTGTGCTTTTCCGATGTAGTGACCACTCTCTTGACAGCAGCCTTCAACTGAGCCGAGTCGCTTCCTCCTGCGCTCAATCTCAAGTGCTCTTGATGTCCCTTGTAGATCAAGCCGAGAAGAACTGGTTGTTGTGCTTTCCCTTTCGTTGATGCTCGATCGACAAGGTCCTTGAGGTACCAGTCAGGTATGGCCTTGTCTGCTGGCACTGAGATCTGGAGCTCGCGGGTTAGGTCCGGCAGTGCCCACTGAGATCTGGACAAGCAACTCTGATAAAATCTAGAGACCCTCACCTGGCAGGTGGGCTGCCTCTGTTTTTGGGCCTTACCCTGTGGTGTCATCAGCCATGGCGCACCCTTCCATGGCAATCCCCCTATTTCGCGGCCTCCCGCTCCATAATTGGGTGCAGATCCTGGGCCGCCTGGCTCCGGGGATGGGATCTTTAGTGGTGATTAACTACCCATATCACAGTTTAAGGCTTTATCTCATTGGATTGGTTTAAGGGAAAATTTACAGGAAACCCATGGGTTTTTACCATCAAATATAGGGTTTTCCTGTAAATGTTCCCATCATCCAATTCTATGACACAATGAATTGAAGTGCAGAATCTAGATTCGATGAATTCCTGAAACCCATTTTGACCATCAAAAACATGCTCTGGGCAAATTATAAGTCCCGGTATTCAAGCTACTAGGCCATGTATTGATGGTTCTACAAATGAAGACCAATCGTTGGTTGGTTGGTGTTTCCCTCTGATGCTGATTCATATCTAGGTATGGGTCAATTCACCCCTGGCGTTATTTTGTTTTTGCACCAAAACATTGCTGACTACGGGTAGATCTCGTAGGTATTGACCCATATACGGGAATGGTTCTGAAAATCTGGCCGAACATCTACGGTACCTAAGGGGGGTTGCTGTACCTAAATCGCACAGCTTTGGCAGATCTTTACGATTCACCTGATTCCCAGTGCTTGTGCAAACAGAATGGTTGAACATGCCGTGCCTTTGACGAAAACAGTTTCCTGCATAGGGGATAGTCAAAACTCCCCAGTTCTTCATCTATGTGGAAATACCTATGAGATGGGGAAAAAAAACAGTAATGTTGGTAAAGCAATGTCATAAACCACCCATAGTTTCATGATTTTTACCACCCATGTATGGTGATTTATACTGTACTATGTTCATAGTTGAGAGTTCCTATATGCCGATCCCCAACTTGTGCCGGTCTTCCCCTTTCCAGGTGCCCAGAGATTATCCAAACCATTCATTTTGTAACATTAAACCCAAGCAGATCATAATAAGTCTATTTTGTTCTACCGTTCTACCCATTTCGTGAGATGCCATTCAATGGTCCCATTCGATGGCCAACCCCCGGTTCCCAGTGACCTAAAGAGGTGGTTTCGTTTGGGCTGCTCGTTAAGGTCGGTCCAAAAATGGCCTCAACTGGATTATCCCTGGCTAACCCAACTTAGTAACCAGTTAATTGGGATGATCCTCCAAGGAAGTGTGTTGGTCTGTGTATGTCTGTGTTACCAGAACAAACTCAAGACTCTTGCCAGAAATGGTTGCTGGATCTTGTATAGCTATATAGTTAAACTTCGAGGAAGCCCTGTGGCTCTTGGGAAATGGGAGCGTTCACCAAAGAGTTTGACTTCAGCCACCCAACTCCAATTGATGGCGAGATACAGTAATATGATAGATACGCCAAAGCTACTGGTTTCCCCGGTTTCCCCACTTCAGGGCCCCATCCAAATTAATCGACATGACTGGTGGGATTCTCCGACCATGAAATCCATAGGGTATAGGAAATTGAAATTGTCTACTTGTCTATCCAAATCATTCAAGATTGCTTCGGGTTATATTCTGCAAATTGGCACAGTAGATTCAAATGAGTCGCAATGGGTCAAAACGAGTCAACACGGTCAAAACTCGAGATTTCCGGCTGAGCACCACAAGATGAACCCGGAAGCCCAATCCCAAAGTTTATGGCAGTTTCCCAGTTCCAGTCCATTTGTATCCATTTGTTTAGAGAATCATCACTCTACTGTGGATGGTTTCGAAATCCCGCACCAGTTGGTGGATAGTTAGTATACTAGTTACCTCAACTGGTGCAGGATTTCGCAACCATCCGCGGTACAACCGTACGCTTCCAAAGATTCACATCTCGTCCCAGCAGCTGACATCACGGTCTCGGAAGAGAGGCGGTCACTCCCTGCAGGCCTGGCCCCAGGTATTTAATTCTTAATCCATTTCACTATTGAATGGTTGTCACTAGCGAATCCAAGCAATGGTTAATAGCTCAAACCAAAATTGGATCGATGATTCAGGAGTGAATTCACCATTTCATGGTCAAACTGGATTCACTCTGCACCAAACTACTGTAGTTACTGTTTATAGCAACAACAGGAATTTCAGCAACAGAAATTCTATGGAAGATTATTGCCTGTGCTGAACTTTTCACAGAAAAATCCAGAGACATTTCTTCTACATTGCATCCAAAGATCAGGCCTTTGCAACTGCTATGCGTCCAAAACCGGCCAAATGTCCACCAGAACATGTCCTAAATGGTGATTATCAAATCCCCACTTGTGCGTCAAATCCTATGTTTGTTTAATGCTTGCCCTCAGGTAATTCAAGAGTTTGCTATTAAAGTTTAGATGGCCCATCTAGATGAAAATAGTTATGTAACAAATGACCAGAGGTAAACTGATAGCCAACCCCGCCAAAGGTCTCCCCAGTAATAGATGCCTAATGAGCCTTCTTAGGGCTTAGGGGTTGTTGTTTCGCTGAATCCCCATTCGATCCCTGCTTCCCGGGTGCCTCATTTGGCTCGGGTCCTCCATACAGGTCTGTTGAAGGAACTTCCAGAGCCTCTCCTGCGAAAGCAGGCAGCGAACACCATCCCAGAACCTACACCGGAACCACCAGGCCGGAATCTCCA